TCAGTCGGAAACTTATGAAGCCTCAAAAAAGCATTTCTGGCTTGTTCAACTCTGCTCTTTATTTCATTCTCGGGGTCCCAACCCTCGTTCAGCAAACAACCCAAGTATTTGAATTGCCTGACCTGTTCGATTTCTTCTCCAGAGATATATATATATATTTGCGTTGGGGTAATCATTTCTACTTGTAATCATTGTTTTTGTCTTCTTGTACTTGTCCACCTTCCTAGAAATGGCAGGATGGACAATGAGCTAAGGGTGACAGCTCCCTGGGAGATGCACAATGGGTCAATTGTGGCCTAAGTCCTGTGAAACTTAACTCGCCCTCCCTACTCTACAGATACAGAAGGGTCGTATTAGTCTTTTGGTCATTGTATACCAGTGACTTGTTTTTTCTTGAAGACACCAGCAATTTCCTTAATTTTGGTTATCTTTGTTTTGTTTCTTCCAACATGACAAGAAAAAATCTACGGACGGATGTCCTGACGAATATAATGCGGTAGTTTCCTACTTGCTTTCCGCATATATGCTATCTAGAACTTCGAAATAGCTTCACTTATATTGGTCCCTTAATAACAAACCAAGGGAGATGCAGTGAAGAAATTAGAAGAATTGCGTGTCAGAAAAAATTTAACACTACACTTAACATATAATTAAAATCCTAGTATTCGCTATATTCCTATAGGGGAAGTATGCCTATGATGGCATACCTAACTTCACCTCTCGTTTTTTTATTAAAATACATGATCATATTTGTTGCAATTTTTTTTTCTAGTTTCATCATCTTCAAAATTTTCGTTATCGCTCGCGGATTCCTGTTCCTTCACATCATTTCTCTTTATCCCTTCTTTTGCCATTTGGTATAACGTTCGTTTTTTCAGGAAAAGTGTCATCCGCAGATTTCCGTTCTAATCCACTATTGCACGTAGCTTTTCCTTTAGGTTCTATCTTCTGTTTTATTTATCGTTTAACTTTGTTTGTCAGTTTTCTTCGTTCTACATTTTCTTTTTCAACAACCTTATCTTTCAATTCTTGAATTTCAGGGGTTGAATTTATTACCCCTGTTTTTCTACGCTTCTTTTGTTTTTTGTGTTTGACTGCGAAACATTTAAAATGGGTGATAAATCATGGATTGTTATGTGAAGAGTATCCTGTTCAGTATTTTCTAGAAGGACCCGTTGGCAGTCTTTTGGGTGTCCACTTTTGTCCACTTTCTAGGTTTTCCTTTAGATTATAATCTGGATTGTTTAGATGGATGTTTTGAGTTCGATCTTGATTGCTCTCTATAGGTTTATCTGTAACCAATGATGGAGCGAACATTCCTCAAAAATATCAGGATTAAAAGGTTGAATCCCTGTTTTGATAAAGGCGTATATGGCATTAGCAAGTGTAGCACTTTTAAGGTAAGCTGTTTTAAACAACCCAGCAACTTGAAAGTGCGTAACGAGTCTTTTAGGATTTTGTTTTAACCAATTTTGAATCTCTTGGTTATAATAGGTTTGTAGAGGACTAAAAAAGCTCACGTCGAGTGGATGCACCCGGTGGGAACAGTATGGTGAAAAGTAGAAAAGTACAATACTCTTTTGCAACTTGTAAGACCTCCAGTCCCTTATGACTACTGTGGCCATCTAACAATAATAATATTTTGTTCTCATTCGAAGCTTTGTATAGTGAATAAAATGTTTGTCATTAAATAAAATGTCTGAAGACTTCCACCCTTTCTCCTGGCAAAAAGCAACACTTCCCAGTGGGGCAGCGTCCTTAATTCATTTTTGATACTTTTTCTGGGAAAAATAAATGCAGGTGGTACAAAAGTACCAATTGCATTCATTGAACATACAACTGTTAAATGCTGACCTCGTTCCGCACTGCTCAGTGCTCCAACTTGTTTCCGTCCCTTGGTTGCAAACATTTTTGAGGCCTTGTTTGAACAGTACTAAGACCTGATTCATCAACGTTGAATATATTTTCTGGTGTTCTGATTGAAATGGTATTCTTTCTTAAAAAAAAAACCTCACCCACTTCCATCCAGCAAGACGAGTCGTTTTGTTGAATTTGTGTTTGATGTTATTTCTCTCAGCAAGTTCAAAAGCTAATCGTCTCAAATTTAGCGTTGTGGGACCAAAAAATGTCCATATCAATCACATGAGTAGCTAACTCTTGCTCAAGAGTTATATAAGTTATATAAGGTAGTGTAATTCTTCGGCCACCCAAATCTCCTTTTCTTTCACCGGAGTTGTTTGCAAAACGTCTACGGAGCGTCGTAGCCGGAACATTGAAAGTTTTGGAAGCCAACATACATCCCATCTTCTTTTCTTGGATGTGTGTAATTGCCATATTCATGTTCCCTTCCGACCACTCCTGCATATGTTTTGTGGTAGACACTCTTTTTGTCCGAACGTGCACGTCCGAACGTAAGGGAGTCCTCAAGTGTGTCAGCTGCGAAAGATACCGTGATGTCATCGGTGAAGAGTGTGTATGTAGTGTTTCATTCAATGCTTGTATAGTCATAAGTAGTATGGGTCCAAGGACGGAGCTCTGAGGAATACCAATATTAACAACACCTTTGACCCTGACAACACCTCAGGCATCCTCACAGATTGTAGCCTGTTCTCGAGGAATAATTTTATCAACTTGACACTCTGTGGATAGTAGTTGTACACTTCCCGTCATATAAAACTGGTACACTTTTTTTTCCCAATGTAAACCTGTGTTCAGAAATCAATTCGTTGTTGCCGTTACAGATAACGGAATTGCACCAAATCTAAATAAAAAAATAACGTCCAAAAATGTATAAAATTTTTAGATAGGTATTATTTATATCATTAACAACAAAAAATCGTATCTAAGAAATTAAATAAGCAGAGATAGGATTGAGTTATTATCCAAAATGTTTGAAGGATCTTTAAACCTAGGATATTGACACAGGGAACATTGGAATGCATCTACTGTAATTTTATACTTTAATTACCTACCGAACTCGAACTGTATTCTGCATCAATAAGTTTTGTAACAGGCAAACTACCAAGATTAATTTATTATTTATTACAAGAACGATAAAAAATGTGAAAAACTAACATTATACTTTATCCTACGTATTATAAACTATAAAATATTCGGGGCGAAAAAACGCTTTTCAAAACGTAACAGTTACAATCCAATATCTCACTGTAATGTTTTATTATAACAATTTGAAGTTTGTCTAGATTGATTATCTGTCATTATTTTTGAATTGAAATATTTTCATAAATTGTTATAAAACACAAATCAATGTATGGGTACTTAATTGCGATGATGGAAAATTACAAAATTAATATGAGAATTTTTTAGAATGCATGTTTAAACAAATTTAATGTGACTGAGTGATCAAGAATGCTCGATAATGTTTTAGTTTTTAGTATACTCTAAACTGGCGGTCTGTCACACAGTCCTGCTTTTAGCTGGTTTGATATAATATTTTCGTTGAACTGGCAACTGTGCGCTAGAAATTAGAATGACACATATGACAAGATCAACGTACACAACTTAAAAAACACGATTTTTGATTATAAGAGTTGTACCAGTTTTTTATGACGGGAACGGTACCTCTGTAGTTTTTTCAGGAGTATCCCATGGTTCATTCAATCAAACGCCTTACTCAAGTCACAAAACACAAGAGTGTTTAATTGAATCCTATGAAAGGATTCCAAGATGCGCGACACTAGGTGAAGAATGCCAAGAGTTGTGCACTTTTCCTTCCTGAAACCGAACTGTGATCCTGAGAAATAATTGTTACTTTTGAAAAAACTTGTGATTCGCAACGCCATGGCATTTTCTGCTATTTTAGACTGGAGCAATGCAATAGTTCTCAGGGACGTCAATTTCCCCTTTTAAATAATATATGGGTGTTATAATAGCCCTTTTTAGAACTGAAACTGTATTTATAACTGCTTATAATAATATTTTTTATCATCTTAATAATGCTAACATTTAAGCCATATCTATATATCACAACTTTTTTTATTTTAAGCTGTCTATGATTTTCTGAGTCTGATTGAATGATACTTCAGAAAAGGAAAAGCTTTTTGAGGATTTACATTGATGTTCCTCAAAAACCATATTTAATTTAGGTACCTACTTATATTTTTTATTCAGTTGTGGGCAATTTGAGAAAAATGATTAATTAAACTCATCTATAGTGATTGAAGTCGAGATTACTCTGTCATTAGAATTATTCTTTGTCATTTTTATACAGTTTTTTAAAATCATTTAGTATTTGTAAGTTATTGTCAGTTTTATGTTGTCTGTAATAATCACTTAAAAAATTGACATGTTCTTTCATTGCTCTTGGTTTGAGACTCATGCAATTTTTCAAGCTTCGTCTGACCTTACTTTATAAACTTTTTGAGGAAAGGATTCTGAGAAACATGACAGACAGCCAATTATAAATGTTAGGTATAGGTCGGCGGAGCCTATAGAACTTTTTACATATAGCACTACCTCCTCCATGATGCTGGAACCTGGCTATAAAGCAAGATAGTTTGTAACCTTCAATTGAGACTGTTTCTCTGTTAACCAGTGTTCAGTAATCGTAAGGATGTCCACAATGCATGCTTCTAGTACGTCTATTTTGCTTCCGAGTGATTGTATTTTAAGTAGAAAACAGTTAGATCCACTTATTTGGTAGTTTTTAAAGATACCAGTCCTGAGGAGTTCACTTCGAAGGTGGAATCCCATTTCAGATTAAAATAAATACTATTTATCTAATTAAAAATCATTTTCCTACTTTTCATCTCTTGTTTCGAATGGGCACTTTTGGTCAATTACGTTAAAAAACATTAATTTAATTCATGTTTGTGGAAACAAAAATACAAATTATACAACCCTAAATTGTGCTTGTGAGTGTCGTGGCAACGCCGCGTTGCTATCGTCCATAAGAAATACATGGCCTTTATCTCCGCAATGTTATTTTCTAAACTTGGAACGTAGTATAGTAGTATTAAACAAAACTAAATAAAAAGACATTAAAGTCATTTTATCTTTATTTATTGTTCACTGTAATAAAACCACATACATTCATAAAAATTGTACACTTAGTCCTTAGTACACTCAAACTGTACACTTAGTCCTCATTTTTCAATTATATCTTTGGTCTCAACATTTCTGGATTGTTGTAGTTCATTAATATCAGGTTTTGACAACTGCTGGACTTCAGTAGTATTCTCCAGATCTTTAGTAGCTTCATTAATTTGCTCATCTTCTTTAGATAACTCAACTAATGGAAGTGATTTCTCTTTTAAGGGTGATTCTTCTGTTTGAGGTGTTGTGTCAGGTACATCATCTTTAATAGGTTTTAATACAAACATATAGACGGAAAATAAACCTTTAGGAAAGTTGTGTTGCTTGGACTGCCTATAACAAGTCAAGTCTGCTTTTTGAAATAACTGATGGAAGAGATACATTGGTCGGGTAACTGAAGAATCTTGTTCATCTTTTTCAATATCGTCTGTAGAGGTTATGTTTTCTTTTAAAACTATCACACCATTTTTCTTTAAACCCTTGCTAAAAAATTAAATAGTTATGTACCTATACTTGATTTGGAAATATATTATAACACAGTTTTTATGGCAGAAGACTACAACAGTCTTTATACAGGGCTGATCAAAGCAGGAACGTAAATATCAATACTATCTTATCTCAGTTTCCTACAAGAATTTATAAATATATTATCCCTCAGACAAAATTCTGAAAATGCACTTTTCTTCTAAATGTTTATTTTAGAATATGATTTATTTCTGTTTCTAACAATATCTGTTGATATTTTCAGTACTGTGATGTTGTTGAACACTTAGAAATGATACTCCAAAGAGTTCTAGTGTAATTTTGGAAATCAACATAAATAATACTTTGTAATTATCTCTAAGAGATAATTCTAGAGAAATCTTAAATAATCTTTTCTACAAAACTTAGGTGCTTTATTAAAATGATTTACTCTACCTACATAAATGATTTATTAAAATGAGGGCAATGTTTGAGAAGAAAACTTCAAATAATTTTGAAATTCTTCATCATTGATTTATGACATTAGATTGAGGATTGTCAGTTGTGTCATAAAAACTGTGATATCAATCATTTTCAAAGGGGGTATAAAAAGAAACAAAATTTACCTGCAAGATTTTAAAAATTTGACTAGATCTTTATTTGTTAAATGTCCTATTACCCACTGAATCCAGATAACATCATACTTGTTGGGCTCCGGCTCAAAGTTTTGTAAGCCTACAGAATAACAGTTGGGTACTTTTGCTATCTTTGGTCCTAAATACTTTTTTGCTTGTTCTAGAAAAGCTGCATTTTGTTCTACCATGTCTACTTTATCAAACATCTCGGTCAATAAGAATTTTGAGATCCTCCCGATACCGGCTCCACAATCTATGGCATACTCTCTACCCGGAGGATCTTTAGAATTAAATAGTTGCTTTAACAACATTTTGGAACCTTTAATGTCTGTTTGGGAGATATATCCGAAGCCTCCGAGCATACCGTCCAGTGTAGCTGGAATTTCTGACCAATAATTAACGGCATTGTTATAGAATAATTCTTCTGTATTTTCTAAAAATTCAAAACTCATTTTAAAACTTAAAAGTGAATAAATGTAAATACCGTATATGTATTTACGGTAGAAAGTGACATTTGTTTTGTAGGTTAACTTAACATGCTATTTTCTTCTTATTTTTTTTAATAGTTTTTTGTGCCTATTAGCTTTTGTCAATTATCCCAGATTTTCTGGGGAAAATAATATAAACTATTTATTTTAATAGAATTTATTATGCTTCTTATTATTCCAAAAAAACTTTTCTTTATTTCTGCTAATGCACATTCTAGTTCAGTGTCTGAAAACAAATACTATTGACATAATAGTATTTGCTGAAAGCTTTACAGAATAGACTATTTTATTTTGTGACACATCAGCTGAAACTGAATATAAAATTTATAACATAACCTCATTTGTTGGATGTCCAAAAGTTTGTAAAAGATGTGGGCAGATACTCTTTTAATAGTATTTATTTCTATATGCACGGCATTCTTAGGTGAAGGTTTAACATGGGTGATGGTATACCGCACCGAAAAATATCAAAAATTAAAGACGGAAGTTGAAAAGCAAAGTAAAAAATGTAAGTACTTTATCCCAATATCTTTGGTTGGTATTCACTAATATTTCTTGCTTTTGTAGTAGAAAAACGAAAAGAAATTCATGGAGATTCGTTAGATAAACAGCATAAGAAGAAAATAGAACGTGAAGAAGAAAGGCTTAAAAATAATAATAGAGATTTATCTTTTGTGAAAATGAAATCAATGTTTGCAATAGGTTTTGCGTTTACAGCTCTATTAAGCATGTTTAATAGCATGTAAGTAATATTTGTAACACCTAATTAATTTTGAAATATACATTGTCTCCCTTTTTAGATTTGATGGAAGAGTAGTGGCTAGATTACCTTTCTTACCCCTGACATGGATTCAAGGATTGAGTCACAGAAATCTTCCTGGAGAAGATTACTATGATTGTTCATTTATCTTCCTTTATATTTTATGCACCATGTCTATCAGACAGAATATTCAAAAGCTGCTTGGATTTGCACCTTCTAGAGCAGCTTCCAAACAAGGCAACAGCCTATTTGGCCCTACTCCAGGACAATTTAAATAGGATATGTGGTAATTGTTTACTGTCTCCATTACTGAGGAAAAATGAATATTTTTTACCACAATGCCTTATTACTTACAAATTCTTCTAGTATATTTTTATCCATTCCAGGACATTTGATATTATCTTTGAAACCAAGGTATGACGTTTCTTGAAGGAATTGGTTTATTTGATCATTATAAATATATAACTATTATAAATAGTGAATATGCTTGGTATATTTCTTGATTTTAGTCAAGTGTGTGGTGCCTGATAACCTTTATTATATTTGCATTTTGATGGTCTATGACAAAGTCTTATAATTAGTTTGCAGATAATCAGTCAGTTTTATTTTTATTGTGATAAACATCTTTTGAAAGTAATGACCATCCTAAAAACCTGTTGTATATAATGATTTTCTTAATTTAAATGTTATGCCTTTGTAGATAATGGTAAGTTTACCATATGATATTATTGGAAAGAGTTTCTTCTTTGAATTGCTATTATACCCTTTTCGTGTTTTTAAATACCTTTTAGAATGCACTTAGTAGAGGAAGCATCATAATAATACATTTTAGCCATTTAGGAAAAAGACATAGGTTCATAGGCAACAAAAAGTATCATTTTACTTTGTTAGAATGGAAAGTAAACAATTACAAAATAAAATGTTGACTCATTTGTTAGATTGTGAAATTTGTTTATTATTTATTAGCTTTTTATTTAGTATAATAACATATCCAGTACAATAATGTAATTGAAAGACGTTCAATAAAGACTACTGTAATACTAGTATTATGTTTTTATAAAATACCACATAAGAACTTTGACAAGATTTAGTTTGATATTCTTCTCTCTCTCCAATGGCAGTACAGCCCAAAACAAGCCTTAACCCCTACCAAACTATGCCTCCCACCCTGCTGTTTCTGTGCTTATCTTCTTCAGGTTCTCACCTTTATCAAATTTTGCTCATCGAACTCCCAACTTTTCTGTGGCCTTCCTTTTGGTCTTGTGCCCTGCATTTTATTATGTAAGGGCTCTTTTCAGCCTCCATTCTACATGGCCAGGGCATTAAAATTTTGTAACAAATTCTGAGCATAATGCTTCTCTGAATAGCTAATAGTGTTTTGTGGTTGTCCTGGATCTCCATATTCTGTCTTCGCTTTAGGTCCAAATATCTTCCTTAAGACTTTTCTTTCAAATACTTCCAGTTTTCTTTTTTGTTTATTGAGAGGGTTCTGTCACTGAGGATTGTTTGCATATTTAAGCTGGATTTTTCAGTTGAAAATTCATTTATATTGTTAAATTTTTTCTGGTTTTTTGGAATAATATCAATTTTTTTCACCTTTTTGGGTGAAAACCACATGGTGGATCATTGAGTCAGGCCTGTTTGAAATATATGAATATGCTGTGAATGTCAATGCTGTAATAGTTTGACATTCACAATAACACAATGAAATACTTTTATTTATTTAGACACCTAATAGTAATTACATGTAAAGTGTTTAAGACAAAAAAATACAATAAATGAATGAAAGAAACAAACATTAATAATACAATAAACCCCTTAAACCTAGTGCTGATGAGCAAGCAATGTCTTAAGTTCACAGCTTTTGACATTAAATATATCCACATGGGTCAGTCTATTAAATACTTCATTACAAATTTTTAACATATTGTTTACTGGTGATGTTTCTGTAGTAATTTATAAAGAATATATCTAGGTTAGTTATCCTTAACCTTACTCTTAGGTAAATAAACTCAATTAAATCACAGTTTGTGTATGTGTTAACAATCAAGTATACGAACATAATGGCCTGACTGTTTCTACTAGTGGCAAGTTACTGCGACTGAAATAAGTCTAACATTACCCTGTATGATGGATATTTCTTATTTTACATACATATGGATATTTCTTATTTTTCCTTACATATTCTTCTTCTTAGAGTGCCGTTTCCCTACGGAGGTTGGCAATCATAATGGCTATTTTTATTTTAGAACTTGCTGCTCTAAACAAATCAATCAATCTGCATTGGTACCAATCACATAGATTCTTTAACCATGTGTTCTGCCTTCGGCCAACAGATCTTCCTTGAATCTTTCCCTGTATTATCAGTCTCAAAATTTCATATTTTGGTCCCCTCATCACGTGGCCTAGATATTCCAGTTTTCTGGTTTGTATAGTGGTGATTAGTTCTGTTTCTTTACCAACCCTCTCCAGTACTTCTTTATTTGTAATTCTATCAGTCCATGATATTTTCAATACTCAGCGGTATAACCAGAGTTCGAAGACCTCGATTCTTTTTAAATCACATTTTTTTAATGTCCAAGTCTCAGCTCCATATAATAATATTGAAAATATATAACAGCGAATGGTACGTAGTCTGATCTCCAAATTTAGATTTTTGCACGTTAGGAGTGGCTTCATTTGTATAAATGCTGATCTAGCAATCTCTATTCGTCTGTTTATTTCTACAGTATGATCATTGGTTTCATTGATCAAAGTTCCCAAATACTGATATTTTTCTACTTGTTCTATCACATTACCATTTATTGTCAATAGGTGATGTATATTTTGTAGCCTTTTTGTAATCAGCATGTACTTCGTTTTTTTAGCGTTTATAGTAATTCCCATCTCAGCACTATTTATACTCAAGCTTTCGATAAGATGTTGTAGATCCTCTATACTCGTTGCAATGTCACAGTGTCGTCTGCATATCTTAAATTATTAATTAATTTTCCGTTAACGGTGACTCCCGCTTACATATAGAAATCTTAAAAATCATTCTGAGTTTGAAAATGCAAAAATCATTTCTGAGTTTGAAAATGCAGTAGAAGACCCGATAATTGAAGCATATTCTATATGTGGTCTCACCAAAGCATGATAGTTTTATAATTGTGCTTATTCTGAAATTTTTGCCATTTCTAATGACAAAACCCAAAGCATGATAAGCTCTGTTAGTTATTTCATAAAAGTGTATATTGAACTTCATGTTGATTTGGAATTTAACTCCTTCATAACACTCACTCAACTCGATTATCATTAATATAATATTCTTCAATAACACTATTGAGTTTTCGTGTATATAAAACCACTGCACACTTTGTAACATTTAAGTAATTTTTGAATCGGCATACCATTGAATAACTGATCTTAGATCATCTTGCAATTTGACTGCATCTTTCTTATTAGAGATTGTTTTAAAAAGTTTAAAATCATCGGCATACATTAAGCTGTTACAAGATTTAATACAGTCTGGCAAGTCTTTAATAAATAAAAATAAAGAGCAATGGTCCTAGTTTGCTCCCCTGTGGTACTCCTGAGGATGACACATATTTGTGAGAAAAGCAATTACCTACTTTTACTGTATTCTTTCTATCTGACAACTAATATTTAAATAAATTAAAAGCTTTTCTTGAAAAATCAAACTGTGTCAGTTTATTTAAAAGAATACAGTGATTTAAGCGTTAATGCTTAAATATATCACAGGTGTTCTAAGCGTTAATGCTAGTTTAGAGTTCCAGAAAGCTAAAGACTGGTTTTCTATGAATAGGTTGGTTTTAAATCAAAATAAAACAGATCTTCTTTTGTTTAAGACAAATTATGCCCATTCAGATATGCCAAACAGTATTATTGTAAATAATGACACTTTAAATATTAGCAGCAGTACCAAATTTTTAGGATTATATATTGATAGTTTTTTATGTTGGGATAAACATGTTGACCAGTTATGTATGTCTTTGAGTAAAGTGATTTACAGCTTTAGAGTTCAAAAAAAATACATGAATAGTAACTCATTAAAAACAGTGTATCATGCTAATTTTGAAGCAAAATTTAGATATGGTCTAATAAATTTTGGACACAGTAGGGACATAAATAATGTATTTCTGGTTCAGAAAAAAATAATCAGAGTTATGTTTGACTTAAAAAGTAGGGAATCATGTAGAGGGCATTTTAGGAGTAATAATATTTTAACAGTTTATGCTGTATTTATTCAAGAATGCTTACTGTTTCTATATAAAAATAAAATACTATTTAGGAACTTTGAGCCCAATAGTATAGTAAATACCATGTTATATAATTATAAAATTCCAATACACAGGTTAAGTATAACAGAAAAAAACGCTCTTTATTGCTGCATCAAATTGTTTAATAAACTGCCTGAATCTATTAAAAGGGAGGAAAGATTAAGTGTGTATAAACATCAAATATTTAAATTACTGGTAGCTCTTGAGCCATATTCTGTGGAGGACTATTTGCATATGTAACAGTTAGGAATAAGTAAATAATATTTTCGTTTGTGACACTGTTTTTTTTTAATAATTTTATGTTCACTGAATGTATATTATTTTCTAAAAATAAAGATATTGTTATGTTATGTTATATTACCTTATCAAATGCTTTTTTACAATCAGTATATAGAATGTCCAACTGTTCCCATGCCTCAATAACCTTAGCAATATGTTCAGAGAGAACACAGATTAGTTACTGTTGATTTGTCTCTTACAAAACCATGCTACAATTTGCTAATTTTACTCCATATATATATATATATATATATATATATATATTATATATATATATATATATAATATATATATATATATATATATAGGTATATATATCATAAAGAATACTTTCAAAAATTTTAGCAATACTGTTTAACAGGCTGTAGTTTTGAATGTAAATGTTTTTATCTTTTTTATGTATTGGAGAAATTGTTGCCACTTTTAAATATCTGGAAAATATTCCTGTTCAATCGACATATTAAACAAAGACACCAGAGGTTTAGCCAAGGGTTCAGCCATTCTCAGATATAGGGTGGTATTTCATCAGGGCCTGTAGATTTTTTGGGTGTATCATACACTGATGCAAATATTTAGCAAAGGCACTCGCAATAACAAAAGGTGTATTAAACTTTGAGTTGTTTAATGTAATTTCTATGGGAATTCCACTATTCTAATATTTTGACTTAAAGAAATACAGTAAAGTAAAGAAAAGAAATATAGTAACCATTCTCTAAACCCCGACTGAGTTCATCACGTGATTATTACCTGTCATGGTCTCTCTATTTCGAAAGCTTCCAATTTTTAGGGTGTACAACAATATTTTAAAAATTTCGTTATACTTTTTGGGCAAAATATAGATTAAATGAAATAAAAAGGTTTGTGTTTCTTTGGGAAATATTTATTTACATAAAATTACAATATTAACCTATGTATGGCACAATAAATATATAAACTACTTCTAGGTAAGTACAAATCAATAAATAATATTAACATTAGCAAATAATATATAAAGCGTTATCAAATTACAACTTAATTATTCTTTGGGGCTCACTGAGATTACAACAACAGTCATACATAACCAGAAAAAATTGAAGAGACTTACCTATTATGACAATTATCAAATTTGAGCCAAAATAGTCATATACAAGTATATAACAACAGTGGAAACAGGGCCAAGAACTATAATACTGATTCTTATAATGTGAGCCATGGACACTAAACAAGACAGAAAAGTAATTCCAAGACAGAATGAACTTTTTAACAAACTGTGAAATATGTAAAACTACACGTCTTGTGAGATAAGATATCAATGATATCAATTTTTATAATAATACATCACAGATGCCTCTCAAAGTTCTCAGTAATTCAAGAAAGAAACCAAAACTAACTATGGCTGGTGTCTGATTATGTATAAAGTGATTGGAGCATGAGAGCAAGAGAAAAATGTACATGTCCCACTTTAAATATACTGATGGTACATCAATTTATATCTTCAAGCTAAAAGGAACTAAACATTTATATTAGAAAAATTAATATCAATTGATAATACATATCATCGTTAATACAATCCAACAAATCCATGATTATATATATATATATATATATATATATATATAATATATATATATATATATAAAATATTCAATAGTTGAATAGCAGAGGTTGTATCGGTCAATAATAGGCAAATGAAAGTCGTCAACTACTTCATTGATTTAATCGAATACGTTTCGCTTTTTAGTTTTCAAAAGCATCATCAGTTCAAAAAACAATTTGTAGGTTTTGTAAAAGATGTTAAAACACACTCTACGATAACTTAACATTAAAAAATTTAAAAACTAAACGATAGAATCGAAACAAAAAACACACAGGAAAAAACTGAAACAGCACTATTGTTTATTTAATTTTTACCGATGGCTTCATCTCAATGTGGGTGTAAGCTCTTTCGAAGACCCAACACAATAATGATTATTGTGTTGGGTCTTCGAAAGAGCTTACACCCACATTGAGATGAAGCCATCGGTAAAAATTAAATAAACAATAGTGCTGTTTCAGTTTTTTCCTGTGTGTTTTTTGTTTCGATTCTATCGTTTAGTTTTTAAATTTTTTAATGTTAAGTTATCGTAGAGTGTGTTTAACATCTTTTACAAAACCTACAAATTGTTTTTTGAACTGATGATGCTTTTGAAAACTAAAAAGCGAAACGTATTCGATTAAATCAATGAAGTAGTTGACGACTTTCATTTGCCTATTATTGACCGATACAACCTCTGCTATTCAACTATTGAATATTTTTTAAATTTAATCAACGGTCGTAATTTTTGCTATATATATATATATATATATATATATATAATATATATATATATATTATATATATATATATTATATATATATATATATATATATAGAGAACTTACATGTTAGTGATAGACCAGTATTTGACTAATTCATTTCAAAATATATTATAACGATGCTGCAATAATGTTTTGGTCCAGGAATATATATGTAAGGATCCTGAAATACTGACATTCAATAAAATTGAGCCACAGCCAAAATTATATAACAAAAAAACCAAGAATTGCCATATCTGGTCTTTACAATCTGAAAAATAGTGATAAAAATTTTGATTAGGGCTTTGAATTGATGCTTTCGAGAGCATACATCAATAAAACCTCAGAATAGCATGAATATTCTGAGCAATAGAAAGACTGAACCAGAGAGCAATATAAAATTTAATGATAACTTAACAAAAGGTCATGTTACATAAAGAAAATTGTGTACGGAAATCACCACCAAGAATCAATAACTGTACGGAAGTTTCAAAAAGAGTTAAAATAAAACAAAAACAACAAAAAATTGAAGATATTTTCAAAAATGGACAATAAATACAACAATTTCTAAATTTTAAAAAGCAGTATCTGAAAATTTTAGAAGAAATAGCATAATTAGATCCATATAAGTAGTAACAATCCAAGAAAGAAAGACTAAGTGAAGGTGCTTAGAAACTGATCGTGTATTGGTAACCTTATAAATCGCGTAAATGAGCTAATCAAATTCAAATCAAGTATGCATAACGTCAAACAAGTATTTTCAATAATATAAGCCTTATCATAATTCATCATCAAACTGGTGAATGTTATGCAAATGGTCACCATAATCTGTAGCTTCACTTCCTACAAATATGTCATGGTGTGCTAGTATTTCTGAAAAGCTTAGTACACCATCATGAGTGTCATCAGAAGAGGCAAATAAGTGGTCTACTTCTTCATCTGCAATTTCGCTGAAAAGAATTAATAATTTACAGTATTTCTGCACATAATATAGTAAGTAGTCTTATAATGTAATTACTAACGTGACAACTACCCTTATGTTTACTAATTCATGAACAGTTTATAGAGAAAATCATCCTGCATCAATTAAGACAAAAGTTTTTATGTTTATTTTTGAAATATTACAATCTTTATAAATTAATTGCTTTTTAACCAGTAAAGAAGGAGGTAACAGTTTAGAAAACCCAATAAACATAATGTAAAATTATACTTACTCATTACTAGGAACTACCCAAGACAAAATCTCATTGCCAGTCAACTTTCCATCACCATTAGAATCAAAAGAGTCAAATTTAGACTTTTCAGTCAGTAAATCTTCTTTGCTCATATGGGTACCCCGTTCTCCCACAAACTCTTGAAAAATAAGACCATTATCTCCATCTGTATCTTTTTCTTTCAGTGTTTGTTCTAATATAAGTGGAAGCATACTGGGATATTCTTCTGGATGGGAAAATGGAGCCCACTCTTTTTCATCCAGAACACCATCATTGTTCACATCTGCAGCCTTCCACATTGCTCTATCAGATTCAATAAGCTAGAAATATAAGCTATATAAACTATCCAGAATACAATATATACTGAAACATAAGTTAGACACTAGATAAATAAAAAATACTATTGTTTATTTTGCATTGTGTACACTTATTACTAAATGAATACTTTTATAGATCTTATTTAAGATATTCTATCCATTTTTCTGTCCGCCTTTACTCTGTGGTTCACCAATATATATTTTTATACTTATTAACACTCTATTTGTCTCTATTAATCCACTCTATTTCCCTCTAGCAACCTTAATCTCAAAAACTTTCAAGTTTCCTCCACATCCATTTCAGTGCTTTTTATTTATTATAAATATACCTTTTAACATTACCAGTTTTATTATTTATTTAAAAAAGGAAACAGCAAGTTATTAGGGGAAAACTAAAAACTTACATGTTCATTTTCTCCACCAATGTCAATATTATTTTCAGAACTATCTAGCCCATAAGTATCTGCCAAATATTCTTCCCAAGTGACTTGTCCATCATTATTTTCATCGGCATCTTCTAATCTATCTTTAGCCTCCTCTTCTGATAGCATACTAAAAAGTACTCTTCATTATTATAATAATTCAAACAGTTGTTTATAATGTCTTCAAAACTTACTAATTATATTTCTCTCATTTTAAATAAACAAGGTAATACCTCTGGATCGAATCATTTTAAAATTCCGTTCTATATTCTAGAAATAGCTTACCTAAACGAACGAATGATCCAGGCTTTTAACTCATGTCTTTCAATCTGACTATCATTATTAAGGTCCATCTTTTTCAGAAGTATTGCTAAACGTCTTTTGGCCTCTTCTGGAGGCAGTTGGTCATACATTTCCGCTTCCTTGTGGCTTCCCAAAATAGCTTCATGATCAAATTCATTGTAGTGTTCACCTTCTTCAGAAAAGTGACCGTGGTTCCGGGGGCTGTAAGCCCCATCTGATTCTCTTTCTTTATGAATCTCGTTTGTATGACTGTGCATTACACCTGCGTTGATTGTGTTTGCAAATATAAGAAATAGGTAAAACAATACACGAAACATTTTGTATATTTCTTCCTATATATTTAAATTTTAAATATTTTAAACTAATCTAAATTTTTTATATCAAACGTCAAGTAGATGTCATAACAAATAAACGTCAAATTCTTCTTCTATGCATGCAACATTTTTGAGTCTGCATATTAAATTTAGTTAATAGGAATACTTCCAGAAATGTTTTTTAATGTAAAATATGTATTAAAAAATAATTATTTTATTTTTAGTTTTTTTTATTGTTTACACTCTATAAATAGGATTTTTCATTTTAATTCTTGAACTTTGTATTTTCAACTGGTCAACAGCTGATACGTCAAAAAGTTTCAAGGACAAATAAGTTCAAATGGAATAATTAAAAAAATATAAATTATTTTTTTCTTTTTGATAAAGAAAGTTGTTTACCTTTGAGTTCGATAAGGCGTGCCGAACTCGAAATAACAACTACAATTACTGTTCTAATTAAAATATGATTTTGTCAAAGCCTAGATTGGTAAGCTATCAGATTGATTTTAAGAGTAAATTTTTTTTGGTACAAAAATTTCCTTAATATTTAAAATAGATAGCATATTTTTCAATTAAATTATGAAAAATTTGTCAGAAAACCATTAATAAATGTTGTAAAATCATTTTGTAAAGAACAATATGTTTTCTTTTATCAATGTACTGGATTGTATAGTGTAGATAATAGATTTTTTGAGTGGTCCCTTATTCTATGATACCTATAGACATTTATTTATGAAAGATAAAAAGTGTAAAAATATTAGACTCTTTATAATTTACTAAGTCAGAAGTTAATTAAATATTACATTAACTATTTTAGGACTTCTTCAATATTGGTGCAATGAACATAACCTCCTTGATATGGTTGAAGTTAAATGTAAGCTTAATATACGTCAGTGTTGCCATATACTCAAATATTTCCCACTCTCACATATAAAATTATTGGCAAGATTTATATTATATGAAATGAAAATGTAAAATTGAAAAATACATATATAATTAAACAAAAATGTGAAATATATATATATATATATTATATATAATATATATATATATATATAAATAGAGTTTGTATATAACGACGCTAAGAATACAATTCTTTGGAGGATAACTTTCGGGAAAGCGTCAAAACAAGGATCAGCTAGAGATGGCTTATACCAAACTGGCTTATACCATCTCTAGCTGATCCTTGTTTTGACGCTTTCCCGAAAGTTATCCTCCAAAGAATTATATATATATATATATATATATATATATAATATATATATTATATATATATATATATATATATAATATATATATATATTTATATATATATATATCTATATATATATATATATTATATATATATTATTATTATATATATTATATAATTATATATATATATATATGTATATATAATTAAAAGCATTAAAGTTATACCTATAAATATTATAAAATAAAATTATATCTTGCATTTCTACATTTAAAAATACTTATATAATAAAAACCATTAAAATTATGCTTAAAAATTAATAGTTTAGAAACTTTATAAACTACAGAATAAAGTAAAGTTAAATGAAAAAAAAAATTAGGTGAAACAAAAGTATTTAGCTATATTTAAAATAAAAAATACTATTTTATGAATGCTTTTTAATATGAATTCAAAAATTGTGGCTGTGGCGTGTACATTTTTACATTTTACAGAAGTAAAACACTTCACATTTACCTATGTATATACCTAAATACAAATGTGAAGCATTTTACTTCTGTATAAGTTTTTTAAAGCATATATAATTTCGTCAAAGTATCTTTCTATTTTAAACACTCCTATACTTTATACAAAAAAAAGTGGCAACACTGTGTCACACAAACATATAGCTGGATGCCAGGTTATGTTCATTGCAGCAATATTGAAGAAGTCCCTATTTTAATAGTTATGCAAGTGAAAGGTGTAGTTAATACAGTTGAAAAAGTTATCATAGCAATATGTCTTAAGTAATAAATTTACGGAATAGTCTGTTTTCTACAATTTTTATTTATTTGGCTGAACAAACAAATTAAAGGGTCTATAAACAAATAATTTTTTTTAAGTAGGTACATCACATACATCAGCTGAAAACCATTATCAATAATTAACCCCCTCTGTGGCTCAGTGGTAAGAGCGCCTGCCTTTAAACCTAAAGGTCGTGAGTTCGAATCCCACCTGGGTGGAAATTTTCGTTTATTAAAAAAAAATTAATAAATGAAAATAATTTCTATCCTTGTGTGATCGGTACACACCGGAGGGACCGCAGACGTTCGGATACAATTAGCGTCTCTTAGCAAAGACAATGACGTCGACTTTGCTAAGTATCAAGACAATTACTCTACACACACAAACTCACACACACTACATTAATAAACTTATCTTGATTGAGACTGGCTGAATGACAATTGTCCAAGCCAAAACACACAAAAAAAAAAATTATCAATAATCTAAATATTTTTTTAGCTTCTGGAACAAAGAACATTACAAGCTGTATCATACCTAGTAAACCATAGTGGAGCTATGTCAACAGCAGCTACAAAAAAATTGTTTGAAAACAATTTAAAATTGCCCTCACTTCCAGTACCAACATTAAATCAGACTATCGAAAAGTATGTTAAGACTGTAACTCCATTTTTAAATGAAGCAGAATTGACCAATACAAAGAAATTGTTAACAGAGTTTGGTTCTGATAATGGTAAGTAAAGAAAAATTATTTAGTTGAACAGTAAAAAAAAAGAGAAACTAAATAACTTATTAGCTAGTCCATACTCTTTAGGGAGATATTTTAAATAAGACCAGTGGAAGCTTACAGAACAATATTTCTTCATGATTAATTCATGTCACTCTTAAAAATTGTCTTTTTTCTTCTGTTAATTCTTCAGAAAATTTGTGATAGTTTATTTTTATGAACGAGAGAGTAATTAGCATAATTTTAACTGGTACCTTCGACCACTCCATGGGCGTGCTCAAGATTAATTGAAAAATTACTTTGAATAATTGTAAAAAATAAATGAATTATTTCAGTGTTATAAAGTGTTATGTGTATGTAAACAAAAGTGACCTCTTTTATCACACACTATATTAGAACTGACTGGCCTACATTAAAAAGGGTTTTAAATTCACATTTTTTTTAATTTTTAAAAATTACAAAAGAGAAAAAGAGTTTTTAAAACCGTCTAAGGTATGTTAAATAGATGAATAAAAATATTAATATATAACTTACAGCTACTTGTTACAAATCCAAATCAGATTCAGAAGATGAACTTTCAGAACCAAGAATAACTGGCTCGATCATTTTATCAGTAATATTGTCCAGCTTCCACATTTTTTCCTCTTCTTTAATAGTGTGATTTACTGCCTTTTCCTAGTTTTCAGGTTTTACATTATTTACGGCCTCCAAAAACAACAGTTTAACATCATGAATTTTAAAAGTGGTATTTTTTCTTGAAACTTCACTCTTTATCTGTGCCCATACCAGTTCAATCGGGTTTAATTCACAATGATATGGTGGGGATCTAAGTACTGTCATTCCACGATTTTTGGCAATTTCATCAATTTCGTATTTTTTAAATTTTTCTTTATGAAGGGCACACAACGAATAAAGTTCCTTTCTTATAGATCCGGGATGGTACGTAATATTTTTTGAACTCAGCCAATTCTGCAAGTCTTTTTTTAACCACTTGGTTGTGGGCAGTCCTTCTATAAGTCTGGAGTGATAACTTGCATTATCCATTACTATTACACAGTTCTTAGGAAGAAGATCTATCATTTGTTCGAACCATTCTTGAAAGACATCAGCGTTCATGTCTTCATGGTAGTCACCGGTACGAGTTGATTCAAAAGTTAATAAACCACCTTCAACAAAACCGTCTGAACTGCCAATGTGTACTATTATCAGCCTGCGTCCCTTTCCTGATGGTGGGTTTAAACCAGTAGATAAGTTATTTACAAAAGTGTGCCTTTGACTTGTAACAGTTTCATCCTGCCAAAATTTATTTGGTGTATGACCCTCGTTGATCCATGTTTCATCAAGATAAAATATTTTTCTTTTTTGGTTTCTCATTTCCTTTATGGTTCTTAGAAAATGTCTTCTCCATATGACAATATCGCTTCTTTCTAATAAAATATACTTTCTGGGATTCTTTTTCCAGCGGAAGCCTATTTCTTTTAAAAGTTTCCATAACGTACTTCGACTCATTTCTGGGTAATCCTTATCATCTCGAACTGAGACAAGAACTTTATCCAATGTTGGAAATTCTTGTCTAAAGAAGAATACATGCACTTTCCGTCGAAGTCCTTCTTTAAAATGATATTCTATTTGAAATTTTGGTTTCCCTGGAGCATTACGTGGTATTTGAAAACTACCACATTTCTCTTCTTTAATAACTCTGTAAATCGTAGATTTCCCAACACCAAGTGTACTGCTAACTAACTCAACGGTCTCATCAACACTTTCACATAAACGTTTGTCTGTAAATGATTTAAAACAATTATATATTAATGTTTTTTTCATTAACTGTTAAAGGACCAATTTTTCGGCGTTTACACGGCACTTCCAAATTTTCCATAACACTAGTATACACAATAAACTGCACCTTGCAACTGAAGTACCTACTTTTAGTGAACTGTTAAGAATTTTGAATACGCCACTTGGACCTTCCTACAAAATGGAAAAACCCACTATCACATTTTCTGTGGAATAAGTTTAGAAGGTAATTATCTAGTCAATTACTGTCGTAGATTCCTGGAATTAAAGAATTCAATGTTTGATTGTTGAAACCCTTACTTCGTGGAATGCACTCATTTCAGATAAAATAAAACGTTTTATTTTATCTAAAGAATTAAACTTTATTTTGCAAATAGGTAGGTACTTATTAAACTTTTATTGGTTATATATAACCAATAAAATAAACATCTTACATTTCTTGCAAATTCATTAGTACCTGTTAACCTCCATCACTCCGACACTGGCAACCTTATTTAGGGATTAGTAACCCTCACAAGTATTGTATTCTATTCTGCTCCAACCTTTATACCTGGTGGTCATACTCAATTTAAAATTGTTTTCCTATATACTTCTGTAAACTTGTTGACAAATTGTTTTTCATTGAGTCACCCGTATCAACAGTTTAGGGATTTGCATACATAATTTATTGTTTTATTACTCTCTCATACATAAAAATACAGTATAGGATTTTGGATTTATTTTTATTATAAATGTGCCAGGTATTGGAAAGAAACTACAACACCTGCTGGTTGAGAGAGCTAAATCTCAAGAAAATTGGTTAGAGGAATGGTGGCTGAATACTGCCTACTTGGAATACAGAGATCCTGTTGTTGTTTTTTCTAGCCCAGGTCTGGTATTTCCCTTTGAAGATTTCAATAATGAAGTTGACAGATTGAAATATACTGCAAATCTCATACTGGCTGCTGTTGAGTATTATTTAAACATATGGAGGTAAGTTTATTGCTTGTTATTGTACCGTTTTTAAATAAAATGAGCGGTTCTTAATTTATATAAATATATTTATTTATAAGTTTACAGCACTAAAATATTTTATCAACTCCATTTTTTTTTGTTACACTGCTCCATTTTTTTTGGGCTATTTCGTTACACTGCTCTCCTCTTACATCTGAGCGTCCCGATCAGCAACTCTAGATGTAGGCCCAAGATGGCGGAAGATTACTTTAAGCATGCTTCTGACAATCTTTCAATCTAGATTATCTTGTGCATGGCCTATCTTGGGTAAGGCCAAATTCTTAATGTCATAATTGCTCACGATTTTCTTCAAATTAGTTAGAGTTTGCCATATTTACTCATAGCTTGCCCTGTCGGTATACAACTTCCTGGTCATCATATACAGCAAAGATCGATAACCATCTTCTAATCTCAGTACCTACTCTTCCAACTGTAGGCTAATTTTTTAACTCGTCCAAACGACTGAACTTCTTATAAAATATGGATGAGATTCCTTTAGTCATCTCAAGATCTTGGGCAACACAGTGGGCTAGAGAGACATTATGCGAAACACTAAAAAGATCCTGCCGAACTTTTGTGGTCACACCGAATCTAGTACTCTTTCTCTCTGTATTATTTGACATAAATTCATTAAAGCTTGGTCGCCGGTCATCTTTGATCTTTGGTCGCAAAATCAAGTTTTTGCTTGTGATGGATGCAGAACTGTGCTTTGTATGGAATGTGGTAATCTAACAGCATCTGAAGTTAAATGCATGCAGTTGAAAACGAAACGTAAACTAAAGTTTTTCTGCGAACAGTGCGAAGTTGGATTTCACAAGGTACCAGCTCTGTTAAAAGAAGTGTGTGAGCTTAAGGAAAGTATAAATAAAATTCTACATAAGGAAAATGTCGCATCTGTTGCACCAGATATGGAGGATATTATTTCCGAAATGCTGGAGAGGCAAAATAGGGCTTCCAATATAATTATATATAATGTTAATGAATCTGTTAAAAATAATCAATCGGATCGTAATGCAGAGGACAAACAAGCGGTACTTAATATTTTGACTGATTTTAATATTAACAAAAATAATGTTAAACTATTTAGACTGGGAAAATTTGCTAACAGAACGAGACCCATTAAAGTAGTATTAAATACAGCTGATGATGCTAAAACTGTTGTCAAAAATAAAAGATTAATTAAAGTGCCCGATGTCAGAATTTCCCTGGATCAAACAAAAGCCCAGCAAGAGTATTTCAAGAAAATCAAATTACAATTAGATGATATGGTTAAGAATGGTGATAATTCTAAAACAATCAAATTCATTAACAATAAGCCTACAATAGTGAAAAAAACTACTAACCAGCCAAAAAACTGAGAAGTACCCTAAAATGTTACTTTCATAATGTTGGTGGACTTCGAACTAAACTCTCTCAGTTAAGGGACTCTTTGCTACTAAATGATTATGATATTGTTATTTTGATTGAATCGTGGTTATCTGAAAAGTTTTTGGTTAGTGAGACTGATCTATTAAACTATAATGTTTATAGACAGGACCGCTATCAGCATGGATTGGACATTGTGGGCGGAGGAGTGTATATTGCAATCAAGAAAAACCTACCCTCTAAACTAATATGTAAGTCAAATTTGCTTAACATAGAACAACTTTTTGTGGAAGTTAAACTGAATGATGATCAGCTTATAATAGGAGGAATCTATATACCACCTAGTTCATTAGCTGAGGCATATGAATATCACTGCACCTTTCTTGAGGAACTGATAAGTCAACATCCACAGAGTTCTGTGATCTTGGCTGGCGATTACAACCTGAGAGATGCTCAATGGGCTAATGATCAAAACGGGGTTTATTTATCTACCATACTTCCTGATGGATCTCATGCGAATACAGTTTGTGGATCTTTTGCATTTTTAAATCTCCATCAGTGCAATAATATACCAAACAGACATGGAACATTCCTGGATCTCATTTTTTCACATATACCTGATCTAAATGTATGTACGCCGGTCGATCCATTGTTTTGTGAATCATTCAGGCATAAGCCGTATGAATTTTTTATCCCTATTGGTTATTTTAAAGAGTCAGTTTTTTATGAAGACTATGTTTATGATTTCAAAAACTGTAATTTTAATTCTGTTAACCTTTATCTATCTTCAGTTAATTGGGATGCATTATACCATTGTAATAATATAAATGAGGCTTGTCAAATATTTTACAGCTATATGTATCAGTGTTTAGATATTTTTGTTCCAATGAAGGCTGTCAAGTGTTCCTACAAGTTCCCAATTTGGTTCTCAATAAAACTTAAAGATCTTATTATTCAAAAGAAAAAAGCTCATCTGAGGTTTAAATTATCTAATTCAAATGAGGACTACTTATTGTTCTCTAATCTACGTGATCAATGTAAAGTTGAACATACACTTTGTCAGAAACAACATTTTTCATCTCTTGAAAAAAATTTTAGTAATAACCCCAGGGAATTTTGGGGATACATTGGCAGACTTCGTAAATCTTCGAGTTACCCCCAAGAAATGTATCTCGGTAACAGAAGGGCACAGGGCAATATCGAAATTGCTAACCTTTTTGCTGAATTCTTCTCTGGTGTATATGAGAAAGATAAAGGTGCTCCCATTCCAGATTTTAAAGACTGTGTCAGACACATTGACCCTGTAAACCTAATTCAAGTTGACACTATATCAGTGTTTGATGAATTAAGTAAACTTCCAAACAAATTCTCCTCAGGGCCTGATGGAGTCCCACCGGTATTATTAAAGCACTGTCTATGCTCACTTACTATTCCCCTAAAATATCTTTATAACTTATCTCTTATGACTGGTGAGTTCCCTCCTTGCTGGAAGAACAGTTATATTGTACCCATTTTTAAGTCAGGTAAAAGAGAGGATATTGAAAAATACAGAGGAATTTGTATACAGTCAGCAATCCCAAAACTTCTCGACAAACTAGTGACTTCTCACTTATCAAAACTAACAGACAATATAATAATACCCCAACAGCATGGCTTTCAAAGGGGGAGGAGCACAGTGTCAAACTTGTTGGTCTACCAAGATGATATATTGGGTGCCTTTGAGAGGAAGTACCAGGTGGACAGCATCTATACTGACTTCTCAAAGGCATTTGATAAAGTAAATCATCGTTATTTAATCAGTAAATTAGGAGCCATTGGTATAGCTGGCAAATGGCTTGATTGGTATGATAGTTTTCTTGTGGGTAACACCCAGAGCATTAAGATAAATGGTGTGTTGTCTCAATCTGTTGACGTCCTCTCTGGAGTACCACAAGGGTCACATTGTGGTCCCCTACTTTTTGTCCTCTTTATTAATGACGTTGAAAAAGTCATTAAGAATTCAAAATTTCTGAACTTTGCTGATGATAAAAAAATTTATAAAGTCATTACTTGTCAGTATGATCAAATTCAGTTACAAGAGGATCTCAGCAGATTTAGCGATTGGTGCAAACTAAATGAATTAAAATTGAACATTGATAAGTGTTGTGTTATTACTTTTCACAGAAAGCAAACAATTTTAAATTACGATTATAGCATTGATAACACTCAGCTGTCAAGGCAGGACTGTGTTAAGGATTTAGGTGTTTATTTTGATTGTAAATTAACATTTCGTAATCATCTAGAGGTCACAGTAAACATTGCATTTAAACAATTAGGGTTTATAACTAGAAACACTTCTCAATTTTCATGTTTTGTTTTACCAATTCTTTTTAATAGTCTCATTCGTTCCAGACTAGAATATGCAATAGTTGTATGGGGACCTTACTATCAAACCTCTATTGACAAGCTTGATCGTGTTCAGCATAAATTTTGTAAACACTATCATTACCGTAGTGCTTTTCATGACCTTTCTGTCCCATACAGTTATAGTATGATAGCTGATCACTTAAAAATGGTTTCCATGAATCAGCGAAAAGATTATTTATGCCTAATATTCCTTTACAAAATTGTTAATAATTTGATAAATTGCCCTGAACTTTTAAATCGATTAGGTCTTAACACTCTTCATGGAACTAGACATACTTCATTGTTTCATCTGCCATTTCATCAATTTAATTATGAATTCTTCAAGCCTCTTACTAATATGTTGAGACTATATAATAGGTACCAAAGTGATCTGGACTTATTTTTCCAGTCCTTAGAACAATTTAAAAATGTGATAAAGAGACTGCTATTTGTGTAATATTAGTTTGTATTGAAGTTAATTATTAGTTTTTGATATTAGTTTGTATTCAAGTTAATTATTAATTTTGTTAAACTTTACTATTATTTTCCAATGTTGTGCTTACTTTGTAAAATTTTATATATATGTTGTTCCAATGTAAAAATGGTATATCCGTTAATAAATAAATAAATAAATAAATCTCATGTTGAAGTGTTCGTGCTTCTTCTGTTTCATTTGAGCCAGCATAAGGTGCAAGACGATTTATGTGAACTACTTTTGGTTTACCTTTCGGCAACTTCTTAATTCATATATTACGTAATTTATTCTCTTTTTTTATTTCATACGGACCTTCCCATTGTCTTTACAATTTAGGAGACACACCTCGGCGACGTTGTGGATTATAAAGCCAAACAAGATCACCTACTTCATAGCTTTCATTCTTGCATCGAGAATCATATTGAGTAGTAGAGTAGAGTAAATTTTTATTTGCATAAATTTTTAAACATAATTGAGCAAATAACGTCACAATATTAATTACAGATTAAAAAAAATATATATATTACAAAAGCTCTATAGTGTGTTTCCTGTTTAATGTCAGATGGTAGACTATTATAAAATTTAACACACGCATACAAAGGACTTCTCTCTGTTATAGACAATCTGTGAAGTGGCAAATTCAAATTAAGGCTTCTTGTATTATATTCATGATTGGGAAGCAGGTGATAAAACAAAGAAAATTTTTAAAAGGAACATAATACATTCAAATATATAGATGGCTGAGAAAGTGAGTATATTCAGCCTCTACAGGATTCTCCAGCCTTTAGTCCTAAGATCACCCGGACTGCCTATTAATCTTTCTTTAGTCTTTTAGTCTAGAGTTTAGTCTGCATCCAAACTCTAGGTCGCAGGGCAAACGAACTTCGCGACCTAACATCAGGCAGGTTTTAGTCTGGTCTGTAGTTTCATTCATGGCCGAGCGGTGGGTCATTAGGAATAAATGAATGTGCTGGTCCCAATCCTTTGATGTTCTGATCCAACTTTGGACAGGTGTTTACCCATCGTTCGGTTCATTCTCTCGACCATTCCATCTGATTGAGGATGCAGGGGTGTCGTTCTGGTCTTATTGACACCAATCAATATACAAACGCTTTGGAAAAGGGTTGACTCGAAGTTTCGCCCTTGGTCGGAGTGGATCTCCAAGGAAAGCAACACCAAATCGGCTAAAGAATTCTTTAACAAGTACCTCTGATTTGATATCGCATAGGCCTCAGCCCATTTCGTAAAATAATCCATGGCTACCAGGATATATTTATTTCCATTATTCATCTCTGGAAGTGAACCTGCAATGTCGATTGCTGCTCTTTTCATAGGACTACCAACATTGTACTGTTTCATGGGTGCCCTCTTTTTACCAACTGGACCATTACTGGTTGCACACAGTTCACATTTCCGGCACCATCTTCTTACATCATCTTTACATTTCACCCAATAGAACCGTTCTCGAACCTTTTGCAGTTCGTAATACCAAAGTGTCCACCTGATGTACCGTCATGCAACTGACGCAATACTTCTGACACTTTACTTGTAGGTACATTCAACTGAAGCTTACAGTCTGTATCATCATCATTCTCAAAGGTTCTATACAGAAGATCATCTTTTAGCACTAAACAATTCCATTAGCTTTTGAACGAAAAATCCTTAGACACATATATAAGGGGGTACAGGAAAACATATAATGAGGCAAACACCAGTAGGGAGAAGATCAAAGGGAAGACCCAAACTTAGACACATGGAACAAGATCTGAAAACACTTAAGATTACCAACTGGAAAAACAAAGCAAGGAACAGGAACAGAACAGAATGGCGGAAAATCCTAGAACAAGCCAGGATCCAGAAAGGGTTGTTGAGCTACTGATGATGATGAATTCCATTGGCTCCAGTAACACTTGACTTCTACTATATGCACTAATGTCTTGCTAAGAAGGCCTTTCACTTCTACGCATCCAATCCAATACTCTTTTTATACATGGATCATCTGCTTGAATGTCTTGTAAATGTTGAGGCTGCCATTGATCATTAATGACGATGGTTCGTCCCACGGGGCAAAGCCGTTCTTCTAATTTAAAACAATGATTACGATTTGCACTGTATGGCCGTCTTGACTGAGCATCAGCATTTGAATGACTTTTTCCAACCCAGTGTTCGATCTGTTCTAGCTTCTGACTGTTGTATTATTTTCTTGCAATTTACGGCAATGTGATCTACTTCGCCACCATTCAACATCTGGGTTCACGTCTCTTCGGCATTTCAGTGTTCTACTGGAAACTACTCTCTCTCGTACGATTTCCCTCCAGATATGTATAGTAATCTACAAAAATACTATAATATTTGGACTCTGGGGGTCAAGGCCTAGGTCAGAGGTAGATTCAACCTTCACCCAAAGATGCAGTACCAAATTGAACGGAATAGTCAGTTGAAAGTTCTGTTGTCTAGCAGCACTTCTCTTTCTTAATAATTGCTTCCTCAAGTCCACGAAAGATGGTGTCTGGTGAAATAAGGCTTCCTGTTTCCTGAGAGGAGCCATTAACTAGTGGTTGAGAAATTCTGAGATGTTGACAAAAATATAAGTCAATCTTTAGGGCTCACATGTCCTTAACTGTCTTAAAAGAAAAGAGGTAGAGAGAAAGAGAAAGGTATTATCGTTTATAGTATGCAGTAACAATAATGACTAGATTTCGGCACATATGCAAATAAAAATGTAGAAAATATGCGCATAAATATGCACGTGTTTACCCGAAAATATGCAAATATTTTACAAAATATGCATACAAATAAATAAAAAAATCGTAAAATAGTAAAAATTTTATTTAAAAAAAAAAGTGTACATAACTAAATATTTCCTACTATTCATTAAGATTTACATTTATTTTAAGTAACTACATCATTTTTAAGTATGAATAAACTTATTTAGAATTATGGTAACAATAAATGACCAAGTGGTGTTCAAAATTTTCTAACAAAAACTTGTGGCTTCTGTCTGAGTACATATATTTATATATGTAAAAACTTCGTTCAACATCAACTGATGTAACGGGAGCATTTTTCAAACTAACCAAAACATTTGGTTCTAAATTAATTGTTTCCGAAATATTTCCAGCTAGAACACTGACTACTTCAGAAAGAATATGGTAACCTTTATTTTTTTCCATAGTAGCTTCAAATTTTTTTAAAATATCTTTTCCAATATTACCTCTAACGTTCCGACAACATGACGCAAATTCTTTTATTAATGCTGTACTTTCGAACAATGACAGTTTTGGTGATTCTAACTGAGTAATTGTTTTTTGAACAAAACTAAAATTTGATTTTATAAATGAAAGTTCTTGTTGAAGCAAGTTACTCTGAAAAGTTTGTTTAGAATCCAAAAGAGATTGGGAACTTTCATCTGTTAACGTATCAATTATGTTCTTTATTTTAACAAAATGATCTGCATAAAAATTAGCTGCTTCTAACCATGTTCCCCATCGCGTTAAAATAGGTTGTGGTGGAAGAGGAATGTTAGGTAGCATTTCTTTATAAAGTTGAATTCTTATAGGAGATTTAAGAAATACTTTTTTGACACTGGATATCATGGTATTTACAAGAGGAAACTTTTTTCGTATATCCTCTGCAACTCTGTTTAATCCATGCGCTACACAAGTAACATGTATTAAATCTGGGAAAAATATTTTTAAATTTTTTCCTGCTTTCACCATATAAGGAGCAGCATCCGATAAAATAAGCAGTAATTTATTAGAAGGAATAGTTGTCGGAAGAAAAAAAGTTGCTAATGTTTCTTGTATAAAACGCGAAATTGTTAAAGCATTTGTTTTCTCAAGTTGCTGGCATGAAATAAGATGAGATTTTGGTAAGGTATCTTTTTTAAGAACACCAATCAATAAATGAGCAATATACTTTCCTGAGGAATCAGTGGTTTCGTCTACAGATATGTAAAAATAATTATCTGCAAGTTCTTCCTTAATATTAATTAACACCGACGAGTATAGCCCGTTCACATTATTTCTTCTTAGAAACCGATCACTTGGAACATTAAGTTTGCAATATTTTTTAGAAACGAACTAAAATTTACATTTGCTAATTTTGAAAGCGGTATGTTTGCAGACACTAATGCGCGACACAAGTCTTCATTAAAAGTTTCTTGCTCATCTAATTTTTTTGAAGTAGATTGGAAACATTTAGCCATTGAAGTTTGATGTTTTCCTCCTATTTTTCCTTTTTTTGCAATGTGTGAAGCAGTTCTCACATGTTGGTCTATCTGAAATTTCTTCTCACATGCTATCTATAAGTAAAAATAAAAACCTTTATTTTAACCCAACCTTTAAAATATAAAAATATACAAGGTGTTTTTGGTTAATCAAATAACTGGTTTGGAAAAAAAAACACTCGTTAAGTGTTTTAAATGCAGTATTAATCCACAAATTAGTTTTTGTTACTAACCATTAGTACATCATATAACTTATTTTAAAATTCAACAAAAGTTTTTTTTTTGTTAATTCAATTAAAATAAAAATAATTGTGTTTTAGAATAGCTGACTTCATAAAAAAAAGTAAAGGTGAAAAATTTTTCTAAATACACACCATTGTATTGTACCATGGACAATTTTTTTCTCGCTAAAGGAAGCTATTTTTCATTTAAAAACAACCTACGAGTACTAAATTTCAAGTAAATACGTTTATTGGTTTTAAAGTTGTTGTTATTAACTAAAAGAATTTAATTTTTTTTAATTTTAACACCCTGTATCTCGAAAAGTAAATAAGTTTGACCCCTCATTAACTATATCGTTTTGTTCAATTTTTCGAGAAGTATCTACAGTCAAACGTTGTAAGTGTCATTTGGAATCACCCTGTATGTATGAAATATTAGATATTTAATAGAAAATATTAGATACTTACAATTTTGCCACAGATTGAACAGTCGATTTTTCCCATATCCATAGACAGCTCTTTATAAGGTTTAATCCAAGTTGAAGCACTGGTTGTTTTAGGCATTATAAAATCACAATCTTCCTTTTTGTTACGCACAACGAGTGTTTACGCTTTGAATATCAAAACAAAAATGATTTACAAATCTGAGCATCAAATTAGAAATGTTAGGTACCTAATTCAATAAACTGGGAGATTTTGGAAAATCCCTAAATTAGGAACAAAACTATTAGCCGTTTACCTGCTGTTAAGATACAATAAATTGTAGATAGATTTGGGGATTAGATCATAAAATGCAAATGAGCGAACCCTTAGCGATTATCCAATAACTGAATGCCTCAGTGACCGAGACTTTCTAAGAATGTTGAGGGCTACTTAAATTGATCTTCTTTGAAATTGTAAATGTTTTGTACCTATAGAGATTACGTACTTAGATCATTTCTTGATTAAAATGACTACAAAATTTTATACAAGAATTGAAATAAATTGGTATGTTTAAAAATTTTCAAATACAGTATAAAAATCTGAACTTTTATGCACTTTATGCAAACTTTTATACAAATATGCTAAAATATGAAATATTTGCATAAAATATGCACAATATGCAAAATATGCAATATGCATATTTGCCGAAGTCTAATAATGACCATTATTTATGTATGCCAGATATAGGCAACACAAAACACTCACATAATTTAAAAGTTGTAACTTTGTTGTAAACGTCATTGACACACAAATTGAGTCTAATACTTTTATAGCGAACAATTGCCTCTGGATAAAATGGGTAAGGACCTGCTGGATATGAACCAGTACAAAAAGATTTTTGGGACCTGCCGGATACCCAAACCAAAAAGAGATGCTTTACAATTTAATCTACAATCAAAACATATAGTTGTAGTAAAAAATAACAATGTAAGTATACATTTAATTCATTTTAATTGAGTCTTCATTTATAACTTTTTTTTATTAGATAAATATGCAGATTGTTTTAATAAGTTTTGTTGTTTAATAAGAATAATCTGGTTGTTAAATAAAATTTATTTTATTGTTGGACTTAAGTACATTTGCAATAACATTCTTAACTTATGCAATGCTTTTCTGAAGTGACTTCCTGTTATTTTTTTGTTTGATAAAAATAGTTTGCTAAGCTTGAAATTTTTGAGATGTATAATAGTTAGAAGTCAACCGGAACTAAGTCGGGTCATTGAGGTGGATGGTACAACAATTTGTATTTTAATTCGTGTGATAGGAAGTTTTCTTATGTACATCAGATGTTTTCTTACTTTTTATTGCACATCCAGCTGATTCAGAAACTTACAACAATAACCTTCATTTGTGAAAATAAATTTATTTTACTGTTGGACTCAAATACACTTGCAGTAACATTCTCATTCTTAATTTATGCATTGTTTTCCTGAAGTAAATTATTCTTATTATCTTTTCGTTTGATGTAAATTGTTTGCTACACTTGAAATTTTTGAAATGTGGAATAGCTAAAAGTCAACCGGAAGTAAATCGGGCTAATAAGGTGGTACAATTAGTAATTTAAGTCACTGCTTTTCGTGATGGTACTAAGCTGTTTGATAGGAAGTATTGTCTTTTGAAAAATGATTTTTTTCTGTGTAAATCAGGTCATTTCTTGTATGTAGTATGTTTGTAGTATGTTTACGTTATATGCGAGGTGTACAAAATTAGTTATAATTTTAGTTCTTCAAACTTGATGTGTTAAATAACAATGGAGAACTTCCAAGCGAAAGTGAGCTGATAGATCAGCTTAACATTATTGTGGAAAACTCCAAAACTACTGGCCCGCCCGTCGGTATTTTGACCAGCGATAATAGAGACGACTGGAGTACGGCTTATGAAGAACTTCTTAAAGGTAAGAACACAGTTGATCGATGTTTTAATGACAATATATTAATATCAATCATTTCCTTTAAAAAGTCGGTCAGATAGCTCAGCGGGCTGTGCGGCTGCCTCTCATTCGCTTCACTGTCGAATGGTTCAGTGGATGTGGGATCGAGCCCATATATATATATATAATATATATATATATATATAATATATATATATATATATAATATATATATTATATATATATATATATATATATATATATATATATATCGCAAAAAGGAGTACGACCGTCTATCCAATATAAATAAGGATCACTCAGACGAGTGGAGGGTTCAATTATCGGTCAACTAGGTGGAGAAATAAAAGACAAAGTTGATACTACTTCATCTATTTTGAAGACGTTTCGCTATCGAATTCTGATATCACCATCAGTTCATCTAAAAAATTTTTACATTATGAGTACCACACATTTAGAACTAACAACATTTAGAGACTTAGTAAAAATTAGCAACGCAACAGAACACGTGGTCTAATAAGCATATAATATTTAATATAATATTAACTAGTGAAAAAGAACTAAGAAAATCATTGATTCACTTCCAACTATGCAAAAAATTTTATTTTATGACTTCATCTTAACTTTTGGTAGCATTATTTAAGTTATCTACATTAAGATATAAAAAATATATATAAAAAAAGGTATAAAGTGAAGTTACCACTGTATGCTTGGCACCTGTTGCAGTTGAAATGGCGTTAATTAAAAGGTACCGAGTCAATGACATGAAACAGACAGCCAGCCTTGAGGTCGAAAATTATTCGACAGAACAACAAGGTTAATAGTACCAACCCACTAATTTACGGGCGGTAAATTTGAAAAAGTTAACATGAGTTTGAATGATAACCCTCCCGTAAGAGACCATTCAATGAAAGAAATTAGCGATAACGCTAATTCCCTGCATCAACTAGTCTAGAGCAAACAAGTAGGCAAAATTCATTCTGTTGCTTTGCTAATTTTTACTAAGTCTCTAAATGTTGTTAGTTATTTAATTGTTTATACAATATCACCATATGATGTCCATTTATTTGAGTTTTTGTACTACCTTTTTAATACCATTGACAACTACATATCTTTTTTAAGGTAATTATTTAACATCTTCTTCATGAATGTGTGGTACTCATAATGTAAAAAAATTTTGTAGTATCAACTTTGTCTTTTATTTCTCCACCTAGTTGACCGATAATTAAACCCACCACTCGTCTGAGTGATTCTTATTTATATATATATATATATATATATATATATATATATATATATATATATATATATATATATATATATATATATATATAAATATATATATATATATATATATATATATATATATATATATATATATATATATATTTCCTTTAAAATTAATTGCACATCATCCAATTTTGTCGTTGAGATTTTCGGAAATTACAAAGTAATTAAAATATAAGGATATTATTTTAAACTTCTTGTAAAGAAGTAAAAAATTTCAAAATTTGTATATTGGTATTAAAATATAACAACAACTAATTCTTAAAATTAATCAAATCCACCCAAATATCAAATTTTCCATGGAACTAGAATCTTCCCAAGCCATTAACTTTCTAGATTTATCTATTACCAGACTCAACAATCGATTTGATTTTGGTATCTTTCGTAAACCCACCCAAACCGATCATTTCATTCATTCTTCCTCCAATCACCCTCTATCACACAAATATATCCAGTCACCCTCTATATTCAATACCTATGTCAACTGACTCCTTTAATAAAGACCTCAATGTCATATAACAAATAGTTGTCAACAATGGTTATGATCCTTTTATAGTAGATAAACTCACCCGTAAAAGAGAATCTAGATTGCTTCAAAATTCTGCTTTTAATCAATCTTCTTCTACTTTTTACATCTACAATTAATAGGTCTTTACCATATCACACCCCCACATTATCTGAAAAGATCATTAACCCTTAACTCTAAACCATTCCTTGACAAATACTAAAGATAGAATACACTATATGAACCGTAGTGGAGTTTACAGACTGACTTGTTCTGATTGAGATGCCTCCTACATTGACAGGACTTATAGGTCACTCTCAACTAGATCTACATAACACTCTAAAAGAGATAATACATCAGCTTTTTCGCGTCACCTTAAAGTCAACAATCATCATTTTAACATCCCTGACAGTGTCAAATTAATTCACAACATCCAAGATAGTAACACTTTACGATTGGATTTGTATGAGGACCTTGAGATTTCCAGAGACATGAGGACTAGCCTCAATTGTGTCAACCGCCAAACTACCCTAAATCGAACTTTTACTCCCATACACCAACAACTACTCCCTTAATCCAAATCATCATTTTAATAATTGTCTTTACATTTTTTTTTCTTTTCTTTTTTGCTTCTGTTTTCCTTTTCCAATCACCCCACTAGCATCTAACATTTTGCTACTTCCTCACTAATCACCCATTAACACATACCTCAATTTGTCCATCGTAGTTTCTTTCTTTATTTTTCATCCTCCTTTCAGTGCTTTTCCGACTCATTCTGTCACATCTTTCCTCATGTCTCTTACTTCTTGGGTCACCTTACCTATCTTGCTTGAACTGTTCTTCATCACCAATCTTCACCCATCCATTCGACACTTTCAGTCTGTTGACTCCATTACCACCTATACTATACAACATTTCACTTAACCAACTCAGATAAGCAGTCAATCTAATCTCCTCACAGATAACTCAACACATAGTCTCTATTATTTCTTTCTTTCTCTGATACACATTCACACATATCACTCTAAATAAATAAATATGAATGATAACGTCTGTGCTAAGATTCAACGCAATTAACTGCATTTTTCGTTTATTGTAGATCCAGTCAATGAAGAATCTGTCGACCAGATTCAAAGGTCGTTGTTTTTGGTAGCGCTGGACAATCCGATGCCCGAACATAATGACAGCCGCAGATCAATGGCTGGTAAACAGTTCATCCATGGTGGCGGTAGCAGAGCTAATTCTGCCAATCGTTGGTTCGACAAAACATTACAGGTGAATATTTTTGACGTTTTGCAATAATAATTCATTTTTATGAAAGGTATAAACTGACAAAATGTCCATTGTTATCCAAAAAAATTGTTCAACCATTCGCTCGTGAATCGCACCGGTATGCTGAAGGTATATTGATTCGTGGGTAAATTTTATGGAACATCTTACTTTTCACTTATCTACATTGGCGAATTAGATGGAGTATATGTAGTTATAGGTATGCTATTATGAACAATGAAATAAGAGAAATGAACAAATTAAAGAAATTTCGGAATATTTTCATGGTAAACCAGTTTTGAATCTTTAACTACACTGATAGGTAATGAGTCAGTTCTGTAAGTCCGGTCCTATGTTCCAAAATTATTGCTACCCGTCGCAAAGACAATTGAGAGATTAGTAACATCAATAGGTGTTGTTCATTATTATAATACTGCGGTCGACTGGGTCATCCCACCAGCCTCAGGCCAAATTTTTTATATCTTGAACCAAACTATACCTTCCTCTCAAAATATCGTAAACTGTTTTGATTGCTTTTTGTTAGAATCCACGTGCATGGCCGTTTGTTAGGACTGGCTGTATTATTGTTTTGTAAACCTTCATCTATCGGTAGCGGGTAGATACTCTTTTACGTTCCCGGTAGAAGATAGATCTACTTCAGGGATGCGACCCTGCCCACGTGAGCCATAATTATCTCCCAATCTCCTGGTACCTGGGAGAAATTATGTCCTGAACCCATTCTCCCATCTAATTACCAAAGTTTCCATTCCTATATCCTACTCTGTCAGACAGTAGCATCAGTACCAAGATAGAGCGTAAGGGAAATGATCCTGGATCGGTATATTATTGGATACTAGAGCTGCTAAATTAACCGAACGATTACCGGTATAAGTAATCCCCCACCTGTTGGTCAACAGCTAAGGGTGGAAGAACCGACACGTGGTAGGGCACTTCATTGCCCTGGAGCATAGAAATTAACTCCGAAGGCGGAAGAACTAAATTAGTCAACGGCATTGAGATGTGGAAAGCCACGGGATGACTACCACATTAAAGATCCGTAAGGATATCCTTAGTAAAAATCATCATGGACCCACTAATGGATAATTTACTTAATGATCATGGAGCTCGGAATCCAAGATCCGGCAGGGGAGGACAATCAGATTTAGACGACAGGGCCTCTCAGGTCGTCAACAAGGTAAATCCCTGTCAAGCAAATAACTCTATAGCCTTGAAAATCGGAACATGGAACGTAAGAAGTTTATACCAATCAGGCAAACTGGATAATGCTGTGTCGGAAATGTGCAGAATGAAAATTAATATACTGGGCCTTAGCGATATACAATGGCCTGAATCAGGAAAATGTAAGACCAGAAATGGAACGATGTATTATTCTGGAAACAACGATTCCAAGCACAAACGGGGAGTTGGCATTATAGTTGATAATAATTCTCATAAAGCTGTCTGTAACTTTGTTCCCTACTCTGATCGAGTATTAATGCTGTCTCTAAACTCTCATTTAAAACGTAAAATAAATATAATCCAAGTATATGCACCCACTGCAGACAAGGATGAAGACACCATAGAGGCCTTCTATGAACAAATCGACAATGTCTTAAGACTAACTAAAAGACAAGATATAAATATTATAATGGGCGATTTGAACGCTAAAGTTGGCCAAGGAGAAGTGGAGAATTGCGTGGGGCGATATGGACTCGGGGAAAGGAATGAACGTGGCGATAGGCTTGTCGATTTCTGTGTCAATGAGGAACTCATAATTACAAATACCTTGTTCAAACTTCCTAAACGTAGACTATATACATGGAGGTCACCAGCTGACAATAACAACAAAATAGTCAGAAATCAAATAGATTATATTATCGTCAACAGAAGATATAGAAATTCTATAATATCATCTAAAACTTATCCAGGAGCGGACATATCCTCCGACCACAACCCGGTTGTTTTGTCGATGAGAGTGAAACTAAAGAAGGTCAACAGCCCTAGCACCAAGAAAATCATAGATACAAGACGTCTCAAACAAGACAACACATATGTGGAAACCAAATTTAAAATAAACGAGAGCTTAAGGAAAGTCAAAGAAGATAATGCAGAAACTCTAACTATTGACCAAAAATGGGGAAAAATTCAACATGCCCTTGTGTCAGTTGGAAAAGAAACCCTCAAACCACTTAAAGAAAAAACAAAACCTTGGATGACAGTAGAAATTCTTGAACTCATGGAAGAACGAAGAAAACATAAAGCAAAAGACCTGAATAAATACAAAGAAATTCAGAGAAACATCAGAAAGAAAATTCGAGAGGCAAAAGAGAGGTGGCTCTCCGATAGATGCAAGGAAATAGAAGATCTGGATAAAAAGTACGATAGCTTTAATTTACACAAAAAAATCAAAGAAATGACAGGTTCTAGAAAGCGTACAAAAACGAATATCCTTAAAAATGATAAAGGGGATATTATTACTGATATGAAGGAGAGATTATGTCACTGGACCAATTACATTCAACAACTATTTAATGATGAAAGAGAAGAACTGTCATTAGAAATCACCGAGGATACTGGACCACCAATATTAAGAGAAGAAGTCATCTATGCCATCAAAAACACAAAAGAGGGTAAAGCTACTGGACCAGATGAGGTGCCCATCGAATTATTAAAACTCATCGATGAAGATGTTATTGATGTAATGGTTGAACTCTTTAATCTAATATATCAGACTGCCACAATCCCCAGACAATGGCTGCAATCAACCTTTGTAGCAATTCCCAAAAAACCAAGTTCAACAACTTGCTCAGACCACAGAACAATAGCTTTAATGAGTCACACACTTAAAACATTTTTGAAAATAATTCACAGCAGAATTGTTAAAACTCTTGAATATGAGATTAGTGACACACAATTTGGCTTTAGAAATGGTATGAGTACAAGAGATGCTTTGTTCGGCTTGAATGTGCTGGCTCAGAGATGCATGGACATGAATCAGGATATGTACTTATGTTTTGTAGACTTTGAAAAGGCATTTGATAAAGTTCAACATAAAAAGCTTGTAGATATATTAAAAAGCAAAAATATTGACAGTCGTGATCTGAAAATTATATCTAATTTATATTGGAATCAAACTGCCAAGGTAAGAGTTGACAGCCAGTACACCGAAAATATCAAAATACAGAGAGGAGTCCGCCAGGGTTGCGTGCTGTCCCCACTACTTTTCAATGTCTACAGTGAAGCGGTATTTCAAGAAGCGCTCTCAGACTCAATAGAAGGTATATCTATCAATGGAGAAGTTTTGAATAACTTACGTTTTGCAGACGATACAGTAATAATTACGGATAACAACAATGATTTACAGAACCTAATGCAACGCCTTAATGAACGCTGTCATGAGTACGGACTGAAGATAAATTTAAAGAAAACTAAATGCATGATCATGACTAAATCTGCACATGCAAATATCCAATTGACTATTGAAGATACTGCAATTGAGAATGTTAATAACTATAAATATTTAGGAACATGGATAACATCAGATGTAGACCAAACCAAAGAAATTAAGACACGTATTGAAATAGCACGTACATCATTTATTAAACTTAAAAAGTTTCTTTGTTGTCGGGATATAAGGTTAGAACTACGCCTGAGAATGCTTCGATGTTACGTGTTCTCTACTCTTCTTTATGGTCTGGAAGCTTGGACACTAAAACAAGTTCATCTGAATAAGCTGGCCGCCTTTGAATTTTGGTGTTACAGAAGAATCCTACGAATATCATGGATTCAAAGAATGTCAAACATGGAAGTAACTAGAAGGATAGGAAATGAGGCGGAAATAATATTAACTATTAAAAGACGAAAACTTGAGTACTTGGGACATGTGATGAGAGGGCAAAAATACGCATTATTACAACTTATTATGCAGGGCAAAATCCGAGGAAAGCGAAATGTGGGAAGACGAAGAATATCCTGGCTTAAGAACTTAAGGGAATGGTTTGAATGCAGTAGTGCAGAACTTTTTAGAGCGGCAGTCAACAGAGTCCGCATAGCCATGATGATTTCCAACCTTCGATAGAAGATGGAACTTAAAGAAGAAGAAGAAACCTCCATCTATAATACACTCACTCCAAAATAGCACTTGATGGCCATAAAAATTTTGCGATTATTCCGTGCGGTACTGCTATTATTAATGTTTTTATTTGTTTGACTTTTATATTTGAATATGCTTGTAAATATCTGATATAAAAACATCAAATCATCTCTTTAATGATTTTAGTTTGTAATTGGACAAGATGGTACCGTTGGTCTGACTTACGAGCACTCTCCAAGTGAAGGTCAACCCATCGCCGTCATGACAGACTTTTTGATCGATTATATGTAAGTAAAAGAGAATTCTTCAGACTACGTTTTATTTAGAAACTCATTTTTACAGAAATAATAACCGTTCAAAAAATCTGCCCGATACAAAAATGGACACTACGCCTGCGCAACTCAAGTTTAATGTCAATGATGCTCTACAACGACACATTCAACGGGCAAACGTCAATATCGATAAGTAATATTATTAAAATAAACTACTACGAGCATTTTTCCTTATTTTTATTATTTTAGACTGGCAGATAATTTGGATATGGATTCCTTTCAGTTTTCGTTGTTTGGAAAGGAGTTTGTGAAATCGCAGAAACTTAGTCCTGACAGTTTCATTCAAATTGCCATGCAGTATGCTTTTTATAGGTAAGTAATTTTTTCTTTCCATGTTTATCACTATTTTGTGACAGAGCGACATAACAAATTTATTCGAAAAATGTCAAAGTATCAAATAATGCATCAAAAAGCATCAGAAGTTAGCATTTCTGAACAAGAACAAAAACGAATACAAAAATATCGCGTTCCGCCAATAGAAAAATCTTTGTAAAAGTATTGAAATGTCGACAAAACGTCAAAATCGTCACAAAAAAACGTAATAGAGACGTAGAAAGCAAGGAAAAGGGTTCAAAAGTGTCACATTGGACGGTGTTTGTTTTTTTTATAGTTTTTGTCGCATGGTGGGGCATTCTTTACTTTTTTGAAACATGAAGAATTCATTGCTTTTGGTGAGGTTAAAGGTTTTAAAGCATAGAAAACATCAGAATCACACAAAAAAACGACACACTATTTCTACACATGTACAAGCCTTGGCTTATACATTGGCTTAATATAATGGCTTATAACTTGTATTTTTTTATTTTATTTTTATACTTTATCTATTCGTTTCTTGGTCTCTGTCTTAGGTTTCGTATATAACTTGTATTTTTATTATTTTCTTTGATAATACGCGCTCCGTAGGTTTTTTTTTGTAATTGACAGATGAAAAGAAGAACTGACGTTGACAGAAGAAAAAGAAGAAGAGTTGACGCTATCTTCATGTTGCGTAAAAGAAGAAGAGTTGACGCTATCTTCACGTTTGAACGATGACAGACGAAAAGAAGAACTGACGTTGACAGACGAAAAGAAGAAGAATTGACAGTTGACGTAAAAGAAGAAGAATTGACAGTTGACGTTTGACAGCTGTCAGCCGCCATCTTGTGACGTCAGAGTGGGGTGAAGCGGCTACTTATCTACTCTTGTAACCTTCTTTATCCTGACTTTGAAATTACCTACAAGTGGTTCATGATCAGAATTTATGTCTGCCCCCGGGTATATTTTGACAGATGTACAGCTGTTCCTATACCTCTTATTTGATAGCATGTAATCAATCTGATTTCTTACAATCCTTCCCACAGAATCCTGTGGACATTTCGATGTGTACAATTTCCTTGGTTGTAGCTTAAACCAGGTATTCATTATTACTAACTGTTTTGCTTCTGCAAAAATCTCCAATGTATCTCCCCGATCGCTGGGTTTCCCAGTCCAAATGGTCCAACTGCAGATGAACTTTTGCTGTCCCCAACTTTGACGTTGAAGTCACCCATGACAATTGTTAGGTCTTGCTTTTTCAACCTTTTCACGACTTGATTAATGCGATAGTATAGTTCTTCTACCTCTTCTTCTGTTCCTCTTGTTGTAGTTGCATACATTTGAATTATATTGTGTTGAATGGTCTTGATTTCAGTTGTATGAGTCTCACTCTTGTTGAGATTGGGATGAAGTTGTCAACAACATTTCTACAGCTTCTAATTTTCTTCTGTTGTTCTGGGTTATTCGCCAAGTTTCTGCTCCATAAAGTAGATTGCTTTTAATTAGTGTTTCATATATATTGTATTTTCGCTTTATTCCTATTTCGGAGCTCTAAAGTATTCCATTTAGGCAGCCAATTGTTCTTCTAGCTTGTGTTATCCTTTTTTTTATTTCCTCATCGTCTTTTCCCGTTCTTTCGAAGATTACTCCCAGGTACGTGTATTCTCTACAGATGTGATTTCTTCATTATTCTCCAGTTCGACATTGGATAACTCAACTCCTATGGGTAGGTATTTAGTTTTTTCCACATTAATTTCCAAGTCCCACTATGAATACTCCTCCTTTAGTTTTATTGCCATATACTCTAGATCGTCTTTATCATTAGCTATGATGACTTGGTCATCAGCAAATTGTAAGGTATATAAACAAACTCTCCGAGGTCTATACACATACCGTGACATTTACGTTTCCACTGATTTAGTGCTTTTGCAACATATATCTTGAACAACGTTGGTGAAATACAGCATCCTTGGCGCAGACCCTTGTTAACGATGAACTTTTTAGATAGTGTGTTGCCAATTTTTACTTGTGATGTAGAATTTTCATATAGATTTTTTAAAGCTTTGATTAGAGTGTAGCTAATGTTAGTTTCTTGTAGTGATTTCCACAATTTAGTCGCAGGAACGCTGTCGTATGCTTTACGGAGGTCAATAAACATGAGATGGGTCTCTTGATTGATTTCTAATTTTTTTTTTCGGTTAGTTATTTTAGACAGAAGACATTATCTGTGCAAGTCCTTCCGGCGCGGAAACCGGCCTGTTCTTCTTCTTGTTCTCTATACTCTATCTCAATGAGATTTCTAAGAATGCGTCCGTACACCCGGCTTAGTGTACTAGTTACCGATATTCCTCTGTTATTTGAGCAGTCCAACCTATTTCCTTTTTTATGGATGGAAGAAATATAAGCTACTTTTCATAGACTGGGTGGTGTGACACCGTTTATATATTTGTTCATACACCAAGTAAGTGCTAGAAAGAGTTTATCTGTGCCACATTTTACTAATTCGGCTGGAATGTTTTCTAGGCCAGGAGCTCTACCATTTTTTAGTTCAGTTACAGCTTTCTTCACCATATCAACTTCCACTGCTATCTCTTCGCCTTCAACGAATACTTCCGTTGGTGATTGTGTGGTATATTCTGCTCTACTTTCTGTTAGCAAATTCTCGTAGCGTTCTTTCCATTTTTCTGTTGGTATTAACTGAATAGAAGTAGTATTTCTTTCTGCGTTCTTCATTTTGTTTAAAAGTTTCCATGTCTCTGAACACTTTCTTCCGCCTATGTAAGTGTTGATCTCTTGGCATTTCCTATCCCACATTTCGTTTTTTGCTGCCATTACTGCTCTTCTTGTTTTTCTTCGTAAATCTAGATAATTATTTGTCTTTGTCTACTTGATGTTTAGTACTTAGCCACCGTGCGTACGCTTTCTTTTTCTCCATTATTAGGTTTTGTATGTCTTCGGTCCATTATAGCTCTTTACTATGTCGGGATTTTAAACCAAGCGCTTCTTTTGCGGCTGTTTCCACACTGTCTATTACGTTTTTATACAATTCTTCTACAGATACATTTTCGATTATGTCTACTAATTTTTCATTTAGTCTTTAGTCTTCGTTGATATAGTGTTCTCGTACTTTCATGCTGTAAGCTGTCCAGGTTGTAATTTGTTGTGTTAACAATTTCTGTGTCTTCAGGTGGTTCTTTTGTTTTCTTGGATCTAAACGGAAAAACTATTTCGGACTTTACCATAAAGTGATCCGAATCACATGATACTCCTCTATATACTCTTGTGTCCATTACGTGTAATGTTTTATTTTGTTTTGTAATCACGTAATCTATGATCGATTTTAAATTTATGGTTACTTGGATCCATGTATGTTGTATTCCAGAGATCAACAGCATCAAAATAATGATCTAAGTAAAGAGGTTTAGATCAAATGAGGTTATTGCTGAAAGTGTATTGCCAGCTACAGATATCTCTAAAAATCGGTTTTGTTACACAAACGTTGGCGATACACTGGTATCACCTTAGAAATAGAATATGGTGGTAAATAAGATCGAATTAGGTCTAAAGTAAGCCTGCGACTTGAGTAAAGTGAAGTCCGTACATTTTATCTCTATTGATTTGTAAATATTTATTAAAATTAATATCTAATTGTTTAGAATCCACAAAACTCCAGGAGCATGTTACGAATCAGCAGCGACTAGAAAATACATCCACGGCAGAACAGAAACGATCAGGTCCTGTTCCATAGAGTCCATCGCATTCGCTAAAACCATGTTGGACAGCAGTAAGTCTTTGAACGAGAAAGTAGCCGCCTTAAGAGATGCCGTTTCCTCGCACAAGAAGTATTCTATAGAGGTAAGCATATTAACTGTTATTAACAAACATAGAAACATAATTAGGTTAATCTACCAAGCAAATCGATTTCTTATTAATATTTTAGGCAGTAAATGGTTTTGGCGTCGATCGTCACCTTTTTGGTCTGAAACTGATAGCTCTCGAAAATGGCATCGAAGTACCAGAAATCTACAAAGACAAAGCGTACATTCTCAGCAGTCGAATGCGTCTTTCCACCAGCCAAGTAGCTACCAAATGCGACGGCTTTATGTGTTACGCACCCCTGACAGATGACGGATATGGATGCTGCTACAATCCCAGACCAGACGACATTAATTTCGGCCTTTCAACCTTCAAAAACAACAAAGAAACCTCGGCTAGAAGATATAGAGAGGCTCTAACTGAAAGCTTACAGGATATGCACCATCTTCTCGCCAAAACACAAAAAGCCAAATTGTAATGGAACTTGCTTGTTCAGAAATATTTCGAGTACTATATTGGCTATGTGTATAACAGTGGTAAAGAAAGCTTTCAAACACATTCGATGCTTTTCAACTCAGTTAATAATGCTCGTTGGCACCAATCGCTTATTAGGCATATCTGTTGACGGCTGCGATTGGTTCTACACATAGCGAACGTGTTAACGTCAGTAAAAGTCTAATTAAAATGCCTGCAATGATCTGTCTTTTCAATTTTAAGCTGGGGTTTTGATTCAAGGCTTTTACTAAGAGAATTATGTACATGTTATTTAAGAGAAGTCTTCAAAACCTATACAGCACTTACAATGTCGTATTATCTATACTAATGATTAGAGAAAGACTGTAGATTATGGTTTTCCAGTCAAAATTGTTTATTTTTAGGGATCATATGTCAAAGTTCTTCCTAACTATTTAAAATAAGTCATAATGGCCTTAGTCTTCACTTTTTGTTGCAGACTTCGCTGTGATCGATTATCCTCACTAATACGAGTGTGCCACACCATAACATACCGAAATATCGTCAATGTTAAGCTTTTATATACAGTTTGTTGGTTTCCATCATAATTAACAAGTTTTTCTTTGTGCAAGAAGCGGTTTTTCAATGGAAACATGTTTTTTGATGTTAAATATTTAGGCCCTAAAATGCACGACTTGTCATTTTTGGATAGAGTGTAAGCTCAATAGTGCACTTCACGTTTGATATCCAAATGTTATACGATTATCACAACTTCGAGTTCATTACAAGGACTGCCGACTGGTTCAGAAAAATCAGTATTGTTTAAACTCATTTTCGTATAAACATCAAATTTGATTAATTGACGTGACGTAATAAGCTTGACCTTGAGGACGGCCTGCTATCAAAGAATATAGACGCACATAGAACAGTTCAAATGGGCGATTTATTTACGGTTATTATGCCGGGTCCAGACCAAACAAACAAAACAAAAACATTCATGTTTCGCGACAAAGTGGCGACAAATCGAAAACATTTGTTGCGACATTTCTGAACAATTTTGTTTTGTTTGCAAATTTGAAAACATTTTTAGGTCCCATCTCAGGTCGGTAAAGATCAAAAAGTCTGCGTTTTGTCTGTGTATTTGACAATAAGTTGTCGGCGCAGTCTGGACGCGTGTGCGTGCGAAAACCAGTTAAGCAGTACACTCAAAAATTTAGAAGTCTACCCACACCCTATGCCCAGTCCACAGTAGAACATCTAATTCACAATCTATAATATGACGCTGAAATGGGCAAGTATAATGAACCCAAGAAGCCACCACTATTCCAGGTACAACGCCAAATGAAAGAATTTATTCAGTTTCCCACAGGATTTTCTGGTTCTTCGTGCTCAAATCCACTTAGTCTCAACACAAATGTTTACTCAACTCCATCCAACTCCAACCCACAACATCTGTACTCAAATCCACACAGCACTGACACACAACATTCATACTCAAATCCTCCCAACATTGACACACCTTCATACTCAACTCCTCCCAGCATTGACACATATTTATACTCAAATCTACCCAGCATTGAACATTTATACTCAAATCCACCCAACACGCAACATTCATACTCAAATCCACCTAGCGCTGACCCACAAAATTCTTACTTAAATCCAGCAAACACCAACACACAACCTTTATTTTCACATCCACCTAGTATTGACACAGGGCTTTCTCAGTATTCAGATCGAGAAAACGAACAAAATTGATGATGAACTTTTTGAATGTAAAAACAAGTAGACTCAGTCATTATTTTGTATGTAGTATGCACCTATCGTCAATTTCTTTTGTATTAAACATTTAACCAATAAATATGAAGTTTATTTTAAGGGATATTAACAGAAAAATAGTAATGAAAAAAGTTTAACATACCTGTACATAAGCACTAAGACTATAGATATTGATTGCTTTGATACGTTAGGCTGTGGTAGGAATCACCGGTTGCTAAAAATCTTAAACTTATTGCTAACCTTTCTGTTACACTTATAGCATTTCTAAAGTTAGTATGTCTTTTTGCAACTGCAGGACCAACAAGGCATATCAGATTCTCAAAATCTTCGGTGGACATTCTTAAAAAATTTTTGAAGCTTGATCGAATTTTACCACTTAGTCCAATAACATCTGCGCGCAGCTGAACTAACAATTTGTCTATCGAACAACTTTATCGCATTTTTAGGCTTAGTCTAATTCAAAAACGTTTGCGTTTTCTTTTAGCAACCTGGGATGATGATGAGAGCAAAAAAAAACAACTTGCGGCTAGCAATAAATCTTCAGTTCCATTTTTTTCTTGATTAAAACGCCACATGGTTAACCAACACTAATCACAACAACAACGTCACCAACTGAATTTTGTTTTTATATTTTATTGTTCTGGTGTGGACAGTTCGTCTCAATTTTGTTTTGTCTTTTGACGACAAATTTTGTCGCTGGTTTATCGCGTTTTTGTTTCAGAATTGTGTTTTCGTTTTGTCTGCTTGGTCTGGACCCGGCATTATACTAACGCATGCTCCACACATGGGGCCAACGTTGGCCCCAACAACGTTCGTCCAATGTGTGTACCGACAAAACTGTGTTGGGGCCAATGTTGGTGCCAACGTTTTTGACTAGCTCCAACGTTGTGAGTTTTCCGTGGACTGTCGGTTTTTGTTTCCACAATCAAAGGGATTGGCGCCACAGACTGATATCGCCCCAATACTCAACCCAATTTGAGGATGCCTCACCGAATGATTTGCAAAGTGTCTTTTTTTTTTGTTTTTGACACAATAAAATCTTTATTTTTAATATATTAAATTGTTAAAGTTTTAATTTTAAAACTTAAAAAGGTATGATGGTTGTTCGGGATCATCATATGGGAGGTATGCTGATCTGAGAACTAGCTTCTTCATAACTTCTTCCTCTATGACCTTTATCTTTACTGTCGTTCAGTCTGAGGAACAGAGACCGCAACCAGTCTTCTGTGTTAAGGTCTTGATTTTGCCTCTTTAGACGGATCTTGATGGTTTCTTTATCAAACTCTTTCTCGGGGACTCGAATAAAGGACCATTAGGCGCTTGGGCATATTATGTGGATCAATTATATTTAAGTTTGCTCCCTTCCACAGGCCCTCACTAGTTTTTACCATTTCAGTCGTCCATTTTTTTGTATACTCGTTAACACAGTTCATCCATAGGGTCCCTTAGCTAAACGATGTTTATGGAACTACAGAAGTTCATTTTGACCTCCGATAAGAGCCTCATTAAGTGCTTGCTTCAGTTTGCTTGAGCCCGATCTAGTTGAGAATCAGGATGATGTCTGTGTGCTACTACCATTCTGAATACTTTTGTCACGGTGCTTTATGGCCTAGTCTGCTCATTAGAGCCCCTTGGTTTCTTATCAATTATTTTAAGAAGGGAGTGATGGTATCCCGAAGTCTCTTTTTATCCTCGGGTGTTGCTGATTTGGTTTTCTTGGGATTTGCTATGGTCCATGTCCTATCAGCCATTTTTTGATTTTTTCTCATCTTCCTTTGTTGAGTTCTCGTGAGGCGTTATTTGAGACTTACTTATTTGTTTTTTTAATTTAAAAATCCGAAATTATACTTCACAATTTCGAATTTTCAAATTGTAAAAAATAATTCTTTGGTGTATGTGCTAAAAAGAAATTTTAGCGTACTAACAAGATCAGGAATTGTTTTTTGATCGAAACACCTTACAATTCTTTGAGCTTTCTCTCCCTGTGATTGACTTTTAATTAATTTTATTTATAGTTTAAACAAGAGAGTTTTAATTATATTATTTGTAGATTTGTACATATTTGAATTTAAAATTTGAATCATATTTTTTCTAAAAGATTCATTTATTACAAGTTGAAATAATATTTTATTTTCTCTCAAAAAATTTAAAAAACACAAAAATTTAATGCTATTCTTCGACCACGCGGCATCTACATATATAAAAATATCTGAAGTTGCATTTGTTGCCCCACCTTTCCTATTTTAGAATCAGTAATAAGCCGCTAACCGCTCCCTTGGTTGGTAACAACATAAGGAACTAAAATCATGATCAAACTTCTGATTATGTTGTGTATAACCTTTGCCGACGCTAAAAAATGACAGTGAAAGATTCTTCTATATGCGTCTATATTTTTTGGTGGTATGTTGTGACGTCACTGTTCACTTCGCACATAGCCAATAAAAGTGCAGATTATTTAGTATTTCTCCATTGCATGTTGTTAATGACATTTATTTGTTATCGCTATTTATAGTAGCTAATATAAAAATACCGCAAAAAATAGTTTCAGAAAAGAAAATATACTTCATATTCTCAATAAAATGAAATTACTCGAAAAAATGTTAAGTTTAGTAATAACAACACAATAATTAATATTAAGTATAATTGAAAATGACAGTCAGAAACTTTTACTCATGTTTACAGAATTGTCCTATGTAGCTTTATTGATATGGCAAGTTTTTTGTAATATATAAATAAACCTAAAATACAGCTAATAAGCAATAGTTGCTGTAAGTTCGTCATTTATTATAAATATTTTTATTATTTCATAATTCTCCGCCATATGGCAACACTGTGTGAAAATAACGTCAAAATTGGATGACTTGCGACGAATTCTTGCGCACAGCGCAAGCATGCAAAATGTATTTTAACAATATTAAAGCCATCGAAAAAAAAAATGATAGTATGTTGTGGAACTTTCACTTAAGTGACAATATATGTGATATTTTTGTCATTATAGTTGTTGCTATAATCGTTGTTTATAAATAAATTGTATTAATTTTTTTTTAAATGGTAAATAAATAAGTTAGGTTATGGATATGCCAGTCTGTGCAAGTGGTTAAGATCCAAACCTCCGTTATTTTTATTCAAGAGTATAATAGCTTCGATGGCCACGATCTTCCTAAAATATACTCAATAAATGTAAAACATTAGCAACAAAATCTTTATAGCTATATTGATTGCCTTCAGGATCAAATTTCTGAATTGGCAGTCTATTTTATCATGAATTCGCATTAATCAAGATGTGTGATTTAATTTAACCAAAAATAATCAGAGTTTGATTAAATTGTAAGTTACAGACTGACTTTTGTGCAATCTAACAAGATATTTATAACAAATATTAAATTGTATTGATTTTACTGCAAAGGATTTTATCGGATTTTTAATATGTATTTTCAAATAAGTTTTATAATGGATGTGTCCTATTTTTATACACCAATAAACTTTTACATACATTTATGCTTTTTTATTCTATGAGAAGTCATTTTTGAAACTACAAATGTGACATCTTATTGAATTATTCTGACACTCAGGAGTGATACGAACAAATAAGAGAAAACCAGCGTAAAAGATTGAAAGAACACAAAATGTTAAAAGTAAGAAATGATGAAGTAATAGTCCAACCGAACAGTTTAAACTTTGGTCAGCATTCTCTAATAGATATTTCTATTTAACTGATTTAAAATCTGTTCTTAAATGTGACCTACATAAATGCTGGTAAAGTAAAAGTTCAACTGATCAAATTCTGAAGACATCCAAAGTTGGATTCCACTTACTATAATGGATATTGCTATACACTTTCGAACATCTTTGGCAGAAATAACAGTTAACAGAACAAAGAATAAACGAAATATGGAAAGAATATTAAAAACGGGACAATAAACATTGGAATATATATATATAATATATATATATATATATATATATATATATATATATAATATATAGAAAAAGAATATGTAAGGAGAACCCACATCTAGGAAGAGTAATTAAACAGGCAATGTTGAAAGTCATCACTGATATAGCAGTAGCTCAAATGATCAACTGTTTAAACCCTCAAGACAATTTTAAGTTGGAGTTGATATTTCTTTACACTTCTAGGCAATTTTGCGAAAAAATAATAAATCAAAATATGAAAAACACTACAATAATCAATGGAATACAAAAAAAAAACAGCAGAGAGAAAGAAAACAAAACAACCAACAGAAAAGTAAGCGAACAGTCTTCTAACTATGAAGACGTTCCAAATTTGAGGGAGTTATTCTCTGTAATATCAATTTCTATTGATTCGGTGCCAAATTTAACCTTAACTGATCTGACTACCCACTGAAAGTAGGAGATGGTATACGGTATACCAGTAATTCACATAATCAAATCAAAACAATTACCATAACAGATATTTCTATACACTACCAGGAATTTTTGACAGAACTAACCAAAAAATAAACAATATAAGTGGGAACGTGAAGAATACATGGAACAAAATATGTCAGAACATAAAGATAATATGAAAAAACGACACAATAGTTCTTCTTCAAGTGCCGTCTTCGTTCCGAAGTTTGGCTATCATCAAAGCTATGCGTATTTTTGATGCTGCAGATCTAAAAAGTTGGTAATTGGTGCAATTGTACCATTCTCTCAAGTTTTTCAACCATGAATGCCTTCTTCTTTCTATAGATCTCTTTCCCATTATCTTTCCCTGTATAATCAATTGCAGCAACTGGTATTTATCTCCCCTCATAACATGACCCAAATATTGTAGTTTGCGCTTTTTAACAGTAAGTATCAGCTCTTTCTCTTTCCGCACTCTCCGCAAAACCTCCACATTTGTTACTTTCTCTGTCCAGGGTATTCTTAATATTCTACGATACATTCTTCTTCTTTCAATGGCGCTACAGCCCAAATGAGCCTTGGCCTCCTGTAACTTCTGCCTCCAACAAAGGCGATCCTGCGATACTCGTCTCCAAGCCCTGACGTTCAATAAGTTGTGCACATCTGCTGTGACTTCGTTCTCCCATCTATTACGTGGTCTTCCCTTTGGTCTTCTGCCCTGCATTTTACCATCCAAGGCCTTTCTCGGCAATCTGTCGGCATCCATCCGTACCACATGACCAGCCCATCGAAGCCTTTGTACTCTAGCGAACTCTGCAATAGGTGCTTCTTTGAACAGTTGGTAGAGTTCATGGTTATATCTAGATCTCCACATCCCATTTTGAGTGATGGGTCCAAAGATCTTCCTTAGGATTTTTCTTAGCATTTTTACGATACATCCACAACTCAAATGCTTCTATCTTTTTCGTATCGATCTTTTTCAATGTCCATGTTTCCATCCCGTAGAGGAGAACTGACATAACGTAACATCTCAAAAGGCGAATTTTAAGTTTTAGACTTAGATCTCTTCCGCAGAACACCTTTTTCAATTTAGTAAATGTAGCTTTCTCTATTCTGGTTCTGATTTCTTCAGAGCAATCATTATTTTCGTTGATAACAGTTCCCAGGTAATTATATCTTCTTACACGTTCGATTCTTTGATCATGCACGTTATGTCAGGGAAGTTTTGTGGTGATTTAGATATTAGCATTATTTTTGTTTTGCTTATGTTAAGTGATAATCTGTGTTCTTCACTGCATTCTACTATTTTGTTAATTAGTATTTGAAGATCTTCCTAAGTTTCTGCGATTAGTACCGTGTCATCGGCATATCTCAAGTTGTTTATTCGGATGCCATTTATCTTAATACCTATATTTTGATCCTAAAGTGCTGTGTTTATAATGTCTTCAGAGTATAGATTGAATAAGGTCGGTGAGAGTATACAACCCTGTCTTACGCCTTTCTTGATCTCGATTTCCTCCGTTGTCTCTTGCTCTATTCGGATATTTGCTTTCTGGTTATAGTAAATCTTAGAGATAATTCTAATGTCCCTTTTATCCAAGTTTTTTTCTACTAGCAGTTTCATTAAGTGATCGTGACGAACTTTATCAAACGCTTTGTTGTAATCAATACACAATATCAAACACAATAGTTAATGAAATACAAAAACAATAATGAGGAAGAAAACAGAAGAACCAACGCATACCAACGTAGCGTGTGATTTGAGAGTAGTTCAAACGAACTTAAGTTCTAACGTTCCAAATTTGAGGGGGTTATTCTCAATATCATACATTTTTATTAAACCTAGACCTGGCCTGACTAGGGAAAGTCGGATATGATATAGCAGTAGTTCAAATGATCAAATCAATATATCCACTACAATAGAGAGTTTTTTCCAGCACAGAAATAACAAATAATGGAACAAAAACAAACAACATAAGTCAGAACATATAGGCAACGTGAAGAATTATGGAATACAAGTGGAAAAATAATACATGAGAGAATAGAAGGAAGTAATATACAGGAAGACTAAAAGAGCAAACAGTAAACTTCGTTCTTTTTCTCAGTATGGTCTCTCTGAAGTAGCGACTTTTGAATCAGCGTTCATGCAGCCCAATCATGTTAAAATTATTCCGTTGAGGAAGTTTTATATCTTTGTCCTAGAGCAGAAATCTTGTAGTATAAAGGTTTAAGCAAGTACATGCGTATGGGCTTATTTTTTCTGTATGCATCATACTACTAGTCCTAGGCAAGCAAACAAGGACAAACGGAGCAATACCTATATACCCTTACATATTATATAAATTACAATCTTTAAAACAAAACACAATAATAACTTCTAAAAAAATTTATTTTACATCCTATGTACAAAAAATAAATACCTACACGATATTCACGTCACAAATGCCAATGTAAATAAACATATTCTATGAATATATTTAAAAAAAGTACGTTCCGATAGATATACCGGCATATTACACTCAATAAGGTCCTTCTTGGACGTTTGTTTAAAATTGAGCATTTGTCACGTGAATACATTACAAATACATTTATGCCGAGTCTAATAACTTGTTAAGTGACGTAGGGATCCACACTGAGTTATTCTGAGAATAAAATATAACGTTTCTGTCTATATAACACTGCATGCCGTTCGACCCGATTTTGTAAACTTGCTTCGCTTCATGATACTTATTCGGTATCGGTACAAAAAGCATCCCTCGCTCTTCGCATTTCTTCATCACCAGGTCCTTGAATCCTTGAGGTATCTTCGAAGCGGCTTTCACAGCCTCTGCGATAGTCTACAAAAAATATATAATTTTATAAAAATGCGATATTTAGACAAATTAATGGATATAAATGGTTATAAATGTGGAATTAGTTTTCTCACTTTAAATGAAGTGCAATATTAGCTAAACGCACACTTCCAATATAACAAGATGTGGTGCCATCTAGAAGTCGAATTATAGGTAATGGATTTTGGGAACAGCTATGACCTTGAAAATGCCACAAAGAATATAACTAAATATCTCTTTTCTTATTCATACTCTTTAAAGTCTTTTACAATATTTTAGAATCGAAGATATGTAATTATATTATTAATGTATTGGATTTTGACAAGAGCTATGCATTATGCCTATTTAGTACACAAGTTTATGTGAAATGTTCAAGGTCATAGCTGTTCCCAAATCCATTACCTCTAATTACTTAAATTAAAACGTCTAATATTGGCTGCAGAATAGTTTACGAAATATTTTATTTACAGCTAAAAACAAGTTCATGAAATGGAAACGAAATCTTCTTTGAAAATGAAAAAAATACTAAAATTGTGTCGTCGAATTTATTGCTAGTAAAATAAAAAAATGTGATTGTTAGTGTGTGTGACTTTCTCTAAGATTGGAGAAAGAAAAAAGTCGCTTTATTAAAAAGTCGAGATTTTTAATTACGAGTTGAATTTAAGGGTTCATTCTAATGGACTTCCAAAAAATAGAAAATGAAGAGATAAAGTGAATTCTTTAGTTTTGAACAGATTTAACGAGGTACTAATAAACCGGAGTTCTACGAATCACTTAAGTGATAGAAATAAAATAAAGAATCAAATATATATGTATAAAGACGAACGTTTATAGCTGGTTAGCGATTGTTGATAGCCTGTTTCATTGATTTTGAGAAGGCATTGACAGAGTGCAGCATAATCGACTTAAAGAAATTTTATTAAATAAAAACATAGACAGTAGAGACATTAGAATCATCTGTAACCTCTATTGGAATCAAACAGCAAAAGTGAAAGTTGAAAACGAACTGACCGAGGATATCCAGATTCGCCGTGGGGTCCGCCAAGGGTGTATTTTATCACCATTGTTATTTAATTTATACAGTGAAGCCATCTCAGAATTAGCGCTTGCCGAGATCAGTGAGGGCCTTATAATAAACGGTGAGCCACTTAATAACATAAGGTATGCTGACGACACCGTCCTTCTGGCAGGAACACTAGAAGAACTGCAACACCTTGCTGAACAACTAAATATATATTGCAACGATTATGGACTATAATTTTAATAAATTTGAAGAAAACCAAGTTCATGGTATTTACAAAAGCACAAAACATCAAAGTTAAGCTAGTACTAGATAATACAGAAATTGAACAAATATCTTCGTACAAATACCTTGGAGCATGGATCACAGAAGATACTGATCAGACAAAAGAAATAAGATGCCGCATTGAAATTGCGCGGTCAACTTTTAATAGAATGAGAAAACTTTTTTGTAATCGCGATATCAATATATCGCTCCGGATAAGAATGCTTCGATGTTATATTTTCTCTACCCTTTTGTATGAAGTTGAAGCTTGGAAATTTAAAAAATCTAACATTAAAAACCTAGAAGCATTCGAAATGTGGTGTTACCGACGTATTTTGAAAATATCATGGATGGATCGCAAAACAAACGAACAAGTTCTCGAACAACTAGGAAAACAATTTGAAGTTTTAAATTCCATAAAAATCAGTATATTGGAATAGTTGGGGCACATCATGAGAGGTGAAAAATACGAACTACTAAGGAATATAATGCAGGGTAAAAACAAAGGTAGAAGAAGCGTAGGAAGACGTAAAATCTCGTGGCTACGAAATCTCCGTGAATGGTTTGGATGCAGTTCAATTGAACTATTCAGGCGAGTAACCAATAAAATTATAATTGCCAGAATGATTTCCAATCTCCGATAGGAGTGGAACTTGAAGAAGAAGAAGCGATGGATAAAAAATACTTACTTCTACTCTTGGTGGTGGTGCAGCAGGCGGCATCACACCAGACTCTTCCATATTTTTCAGGTACGAAATTGATTCCTTGGCTCCGGGTTGTTGACCAATATTTACAGCTCTGTTCATCATCTCCAGTGCTTTGTGAAAATGTTCTAGATAAAAAAATAATAATCAAATTAGAATATAAATAATGCAAATCTTTTTCATCCAAAATTACGACACATTTTATGACAAATTGCCTACTTTATCTACTTCTGATGTAGAAAACTCTAGAAATTTGTACAATAACTATGTAAGTGATAAAAAATATTACAAGAATCTACATACAGGGTGGTGAATCATCAAAAGGGCCATAGGAAACTCAATGGGAAATTCTAAATTGTTGAATTCCTTCTTCCCTAATTAATTTAAACCAAAACTCATAAGAACAAATGTTAAAATTGTTCTATCAATTAAATGTATTACAAAATTTTGCAAAAATATAATACATTTTTCAGGCCACCCCTAAAAGTCAGGCCACAGGCAAGTGTGTATGATGTCTTGCGTTTGATCATATTGAAGTTTATGAGAATATATATATATATATATATATATATATATATATATATATATATATATATATATATATATATATATATAATTATATATTTATAATAAGAAATCAAATAGATTATGTTTTAATCAACCAACGATTTCGTAACTCCATTACAAGTACAAAAACATATCCTAGTGCTGATGCAAATTCCGACCACAACCCTGTAGTAGCAAATATTCGCACAAGAATTAAAGTAATAAAAAATGCAAAGCCGAAGAACAAACCTAATATGGAACTACTAAAAGATGTACAGATTAAAGATAAAACCACTGTAAAACTAAATGAAAAACTCTCAGAAATAGACCGAACCCAAATAAATATCCAAAATATAAATACAACTTGGCAACAAATAAAATCCATCCTCGTCAATTCTGCAAGGGAAGAAATTCCAAATACACGATTAATGGCAAAAAAAGACTGGATGACACCAGCTATTCTAAAGATGATAGACGAAAGGAGGAAATACAAAAATAAGAACACAATCGATTACAAACGATTAAATACAGAAATACGAAGGAAAATAAAAGAATCAAAAGAGAAATGGCTCGAAGAAAAATGTAAAGAAATAGAAGAATTAGAACATAGACATCATTACTTTAATATGTACAAGAAGGTGGAAGAATTTTCATTCATCCACAAAAAACAACATTGCCCACTGGTAAATAACAACGGAGAGTTAATTCATAACACCAAAGATAAAATAGAAGAATGGGAAAAATTTATACAACAGCTGTTCCGAGATGAAAGAATAGACATTACAATAAATAATGTTACTGAAAGCCCACTAATTCTAAAAGTCGAAGTGGAATATGCCATTAAACAATTAAAGACCAACAAAAGCCCTGGACCTGATGAAGTTTATCCTGAAATACTTAAATTGATCGAAAGTAATAACATTGATTTGTTAGTAATTTTGTTTAATACAACCTACGATCCTGGGGAAATACCAGAGGAATGGTTAGAATCTATTTTTATTCCCATTCCAAAACAAGCTAACTCCAGGCGATGCGCAGATTTTAGATTAATAAGTCTTATGAGCCAAGTGCTTAAAATTCTATTAAAAATACTTCACAATAGGGTATACAAAAGGTGTGAAAAAGAAGTTGGATACGATCAATTTGGATTCAGAGCCGGAATGGGGACCAGAGAGGCCTTGTTTTCACTACAAGTACTGCTGCAGAAGTGTTACGACCAACAAAAGGATGTCTTTCTATGTTTTGTAGACCTTGAAAAGGCATTTGATCGTGTAAACCATAATAAAATGTTAAATTCCTTGCAGATCATCAACTTGGATAGTAAAGATCTCCGATTAATTAAGAACTTATATTGGAGGCAGAGTGCCAAGATTAAGATCGACGATCATACATCTAGAAATATTAGTATAAATAAAGGAGTAAGGCAAGGATGCATATTATCCCCTATACTGTTCAATCTTTACTCGGAACTACTATTCAAGCAAGCCTTGGAAAACCTTTCCACAGGAATAAAAATTAATGGAGAACCAATATCTAGCATAAGATATGCAGATGACACTGTCCTACTGGCTGATACAGACACAAACTTACAGGGGGTTATAGACCACCTTAAGGATGCTTGTCGAGAGTTTGGAATGAAGATCAACGAAAAAAAAAACAAAAGTAATGGTGATCCAAAGAAAACAGAATATCCCCTTACCTATAAAAATAAATGGGAATATTTTAGAACAGGTAAACCAATACAAATACCTTGGCTGTTGGATTAATTGCAAGCTGGACCCAGAACAAGAAATTAAAGCGAGAATTGCTCAAGCTAGGGATAGTTTCTTTAAGATGCGCGTTCTATTTTGCGATACACATATAAATATTAAATTGAGATTAAAACTTGTAAAATGTTTTATCTGGTGTGTTCTTCTCTACGGAGTCGAAAAGTGGACTTTAAAAATAAAGAGCCTGAATAGAATCGAGGCATTTGAAATGTGGGTGTACCGTAGAATTTTAAAAATTCCTTGGACAGCACGAAAAACAAATGAAGAAGTACTAGCTAGACTCAATTTAGAAAAAGAACTATTGAGAACAGTCAAAAGAAGAAAAACCAGTTATTTAGGGCATTTGTTGCGCAACGAGAAATACTACATCCCTCAGTTGATAATAAAAGGCAAAATAGAAGAAAAGCGAGGAATTGGAAGAAAAAAATTGTCCTGGTTACGTAATATCAGAAACTGGACAGGACTTGGATTTGAGGAACTCTTAAGAGCAGCTGAAGATAGACAAACGTTTGCCACCATAACCTAACCTCCATTGATGGAGACGGCACTTGAAGAAGAAGAAGTTTATGATATTGGACAATATTTGAATTGCCAAAATTTTAATTTCAATATTTCAGCGTTTTTATTAAGAAAGAGCCTTTTCTTTCATCCAGCAGAAAGATTCTTCAAAGCGGTGTGAGTACCCTTTTGCTTTACTTTTTGGAGTTGCCCCAACCCAATCCCATTGTTTCATTCACTTATCCATGACCCATGAGAATTGAACGTGTCTCACAATATAATTACTTGGGAACTATAATGAATGAGTCGTGGGACAATACCCAAGAGATTAAATGTCGCATCGGAAAGGCCAAAAGTGCATTCTTGGCTATGAGCTCTGTGTTCAAAAGCCATGACCTCAGCCTGAAAACAAAAATAGGGCGCCTTAAATGTTACGTGTACTCAGTGCTTCTGTATGGAGTAGAAACGTGGACATTGAAGGCGGAAACTCTATCAAAACTTCAGGCGTTTGAATTATGGTTATACAGAAGAATCCTGAAGATACCATGGACAGACAAAGTCACCAATGAAGAAGTACTGCGGAGGATGAACACAACCGCGGATTTGGTCAACATTGTGAAGAGCCGTAAGCTGGAGTACTTGGGACATATAATGAGAAATCAAGGCAGATACGAGCTACTCCAATGCATGTTGCAGGGTAAAATTGAAGGAAAAAGAGCCCCAGGACGAAGAAGAATATCCTGGCTTGCTAACCTGAGAGCATGGTATAGAAAGACCTCAACACAGCTATTTCGTATAGCAACCATAAAATCATCATAGCCAGAGTGATCGCCAACGTTCGGAACGGACAGGCACCCTAAGAAGAAGAAGAATCCATGACCCAGCTCTCAAATAAACCCTCAGTAGCCGTTCGCAAAAGTTTCTGTTTATTTTGCTTACCCTACCTCCAGCCTAGTAATTGTTCTGTCCCCATTTTCAACCCACTATAGTAATACCCTATGTGGTAGGCAAAATAATCGTTACAAGTAGATAGTGTATAGTATGTAGTAGTTCAAATGTTTAAACTTTGAAGACAATCCTTATTTTAAATTTTGTTTACCATAAGGGATATTTCTATGCACTTCCGAGCTTTTTGATAGAGCTAATGAATATTATAAAAAATAAAGAAAGTAAGGTAATAGTGTACATAAAGAAAAAAAAAACGATTAAAAAGACATATATAAAAAGTGCACCCTACACACAAACTGCGTAACTTGCGCCTTTCCCCATTCACACACTCCTAAGTTTCCTCACTCGCCAACCCGCCTGACAAGCGTGGCGTTTAAATGTCAAAAAACCCTCTTCAACAAACATGTCGAATCACAAAACAAACGGAAAATTACCCCAGGTGGGTAGAGATAACATCTCGAAGTCCCACACCGACAAACCGGTCTGCTTCAAGGATTCTGGGGGAGGCAAACATTCGACTAAACTAAACATAGGAACATATAACATCAGATCCATGAATGATGATACTAAACTTCACGAATTAGAAGAAGAACTAAATAATATACAATGGGATGTCATTGGTCTGTCAGAGATAAGAAGAAAAGGTGAACAAAAAATACTATTAAACTCAAAAAACATGCTGTACTATAAAGGCAATGAAGATAACTCTAACAACGGAGTTGGTTTTATAATAAACAAGAAAGTCGTCAGATACATACAATCCACCAAGGGTATATCAGACAGAGTAGCCTACATTATGCTTAAATTAAAAAGAACGTCTTTGAAAATTATACAGGTATACGCGCCAACAAGTTCATATACAGATGAAGATATTGAAAACTTCTACGAAGAACTAACACTCGCTATGAGAGAAAAGAAAACTAAATTGACGCTAATAATTGGAGACTTCCATGCCAAACTAAAACATGGTGGGAAAACAACTAGAGAAGTTTTGTACATACTTATGAATAAAATTTTAATGACAAAACAAATACCCAACAGTTGGAACGAAGCAATAACACTGTTACTATTTAAGAAAGGAGATAAAAAGGATCTAAAGAATTACAGACCCATAACTTTATTAAATGTGATGTACAAACTATTAACCAAAATATTAACAAATAGATTAACAACTAAATTAGATGGATACCAGGCAAGAGAACAAGCCGGATTTAGAAAGAGCTTCAGTACAAGTGACCACTTTTTAACGATGAAGATTTTAATCGAAAAAACTAACTAATATCATATCCCGCTATACATGGCATTTATTGACTTTGAGAAGGCATTTGATAGTGTGGAACACTGGGCAGTACAGAATTCCCTACAAAACAGCAGAATAGACTACCGATATACCGACTTAATTACAAATATATACAACAAGGCAACAACAACTATTAGGCTAATGAAACAAACGGAGCCTATTAAAATAAACCGAGGAGTAAGACAAGGAGATACCATATCGCCCAAGTTATTTAACCAAGCGCTAGAAGATGTTTTTAAACGACTACACTGGGATGACTTGGGAATTAATATAAACGGGCAAAATCTGAATCATTTACGATATGCTGATGATATTGTATTAATAACAGAAAAAAGTGAAGAATTACAAAGAATGATGGAAGAACTAGATAGAGAATCGACAAAAATTGGACTCAAGATGAATTATAGTAAAACAAAAACCATGACTAATCAACCAGAAGAACTTATGATTACAGTGGCACAAACAAAAATAGAACAAGTAAAAGAGTATATATATTTAGGCCAAATCACTAAATTAAATAAAGAAAATCAGACCGAAGAAATAAAGAGAAGAATAAGATTGGCCTGGGCATCATTCGGAAAACTGTCTTATATTCTAAAGAATTCAAAATACCCCCAATACTTAAAAACGAGAGTCTTCGATCAATGTATACTCCCTGTCCTCACATATGGCTCTCAGACATGGACGTTTACAAAGGAAAATATGGAAAAAATAGCAAAGACAGAAAGATCCATGGAAAGACAAATGCTGAACATTAAACTATCAGACAAAAAAAGAAACGAATGGATCCGTAATAAAACAAAAGTGAAAGATGTCTCAACCCAAGTAGCAAAGCTTAAATGGAAGTTCGCCGGACACACCCTAAGGCAGAAAGATGAAAGATGGACTAAAACAATTATACATTGGAGACCATGGAATCACAAACGTAAAAGGGGAAGGCCACAAATGCGATGGTCAGATGACCTGAAGAAACACGCCCGGTCAAAATGGATGCAAATTGCCCAAGATAGAGAGGCATGGAAGAAGGAGGAGGAGGCCTATATCCAAGGATGGATTTTAAGGGCTGTATAGATAGATAGATAGATATAAAAAGTGAAAGAATATAAAATGTTGGAAATAGCAAATAATTTAGCAGTAGTTTAAAAAAATTTTAAAATTAAGAATCGTAATACAAATTTCAGCCCCATTCACTATAATGAACGTTCTGATACACCTTATACTTCAAAATCTGGCGTTAAATGAAAAAAATAATTCTTTAGGTACCTTTAATTGTGGGTTGACTAAATAATTCATCCGATAACATCCTCTTCCATCCTGAATACCATTCTGTCACTTGGTTATAATTCGGATTATGATTCAACCACATCGCCAGAGTTTGTAACCATCTCGGAAAGAAGAATTTGTCCAAAATTAACGTCATATTACCGACGGACAACATATCATTCCAATCCATTACCCAGTGCCAAGAATCTGCAACAAAATGGAAGTTAGTATTTCCCCAATAAAAATTATTATATGTGTTATAAAAATTAACATTAAATTTATGGTTAATAGTTTCTAGTTTAGATCATCAAATTTGGATACATCCTTTCTGGAGTCGTCATCAGATGTTTGCTTGTGGAGGGAACTCGATAGTGCTTCCTTGTCACGTATTAAGTCCACATGCTGATGATGGCTCCAGAATGGAAGTCAAAAGGTCGATCTAGCCATATTTGACTCTGTTCAACTTAGAAACTGTTAGTAAAACTTAAAATTATTAGTATATTGTGAAAAACTGTTGTTTTTATTGAACTGTTTCACATGAAACGAAGTAAGATAAACAGTGACGGTTTTTAGTCTGTTTTTTTTACTCCCTCAATTAAAATGCTACAATCTTCTGATTTTTTTTTGTTAAATAAAACATATTCCTACCTAAATGCTGTTGGTGGGGATTAATTGTAAATGACTGCATACATATCTGAAGTTTGGGTACAATATGTTTAAGCAAAAATGCTACGAAGTTTCCTTTCGACAACACTCTCTGCCACGGCTGTAACATCAACTTCGCAGACCTGTCAGACGGATGCCAATTTTCTAATGCGCTGCCCAATTTTTCTTGAATCACTGGATAGATGGTAGATTGAAGTTTATCGTCTAAAAAAAAGTATTTTGTATTTTTGTGTTTAATTTCTAATAAAAATTTATTATTTTGTTTTGTTACGCCATCTTCCAATTAGTCGACAAACTTATGACATTCAAACTTAACACAGTCTCCACAAGATGGCGCAAACGAGAAAATTGACTATTTCCCTTTTGTTGCGCCATCTTTGAATGAGCTGCCAAACTAATATGCCATTCAAACTTCACTGAGTCTCCACAAGATGGCAAAAAAAAACGAAAATCGAAGGAACCATTTTTTAATGGATCAATTTTCACACAAATTTGTAGTGCAGAATAACACAGCTAATCAACAAAAAAAAATTAAGTAAAAACTCAACAAAACCATTCTAAAGCAGACGAAACCACAGAAATTGGAAGAAGAAAGTAGATGAAGAATTATCATAAAAAACTAAAGGAATAACTCAATAAAATAACAGAGAAATGGCTTAAGAGATAAAACACCCAAAATTCGATGAAAAATCTGCACAGAGTAGAAGAAAATGAAAAGATGTAATAAAGAAATGTAAATTCAGAATAGTTGCAAACGAACGAAACTCAAGAGTGTCGTAAGTGCAATGAGTAGTTTACTATACTTTTTGCATGGACAATCTCTTGAATAACAATACAGCAAAACAAAAAATGTACCCGTGAGTAGATTTAAATTAACGACATTTGGATTATGAGATCAAAAAGTTTTGCACCCTACGATTCATTTAACGTTCAGTCGAAGCATCTATAATATATAAAATCTAACACTCACCTAGTAGAGGTATCCAGGGATGGATCCAAACATGTATGGGTGTGGTATCGGTTAGAGGATTCCATTCGTTAACTTCCTTCAGAATTTTCGGCATTATTAATTGGCTGAGTACATTTTCTAATATCCATTGAGGCAGAACTGGTTTCCACGTTTCTAGCAGGGTTATCAGAGGATCACAATCACGTGGATTCCAAGAACTACAAATAAAATAAACATACAATTAGAGCGAATTTGGAGTGAGTTTATTATAGACTGTAACAAGGAAAAATGTATTGAATAGATGGGTGGAAAACCTGGAAGATGAAAGAGATGAGGTAAGGGGAACAGCGAAGAGGTAGAAGGAACCACCAACGATTCTTGAAGTTTAAGATGCAGTTAAAAAACTAGCCAGAAACAAATTACTTGGAATAGATAATCCCCCAGCTGCACTATATAAAGAAGGTGGTTATGATACCATAATGGCATTACATCAGCTTATAACAGAAATGTGGACACAGATATCCCTCCCAAATGGTTGGAATATTGGAATACTTTGCACCATACACAAAAAGAGAGATATCTTTGAATGATCTAACCACAGGAGAAATAGATACGCTTCTAAATGTAGCAATAAAAATATTTTCCACAGTACTGTCACCATATGCAGAACGGATAGTAGGAAAATGCCAGGCTGGTTTCAGAGGTGGTAAATCGACAATTAATCAGATTGCAACCCTGAAACAAATTTAGGAAAAAACACTGGAATATGGCATTGATACTCACCACATATTTATAGACTACAAAGCAGCCTACGACTCTGTTAGCTGAGCTCTAGCTAGTTTGCCTCCTGAGAAATATTGAAAGCAATAAAAGAGCTAGGAATACCAAATCAGTTTGTCTTGATATCAATTGAATACCCAATTAGTAAATTTGATAAAACTAACACTTGAAAAAGTTGAAAGTAGAGTACGAATTCAGGGGGAACTGTCTGAATATTTTAAAACAAATAACGGGCTGCGCCAGGGAGACCCTCTCTCCTGTATACTGTTCAATCTGACTCTGGAAAAAGTAATATGTATGTCACAAATCACAACCACTGGTTTGCAGCATTAAAAGAATCAGCTACAAAAATGCGTTTAATACTAAACACCAACAAAACAAAGTATGTGAAAACAAATCCTACAACCACTTGTTATAGAAAATGACGTCATCGAAGCAATGAATGAATTTGTATACCTGGAAGCGCTCCTTAACACTGAAAATAATAATACCGCAGAGATAAACCGCAGAATTTGCAAGGCCAACAGATGCTATTTTGATACTAAAGCGAATTTATCGAGCAGTAAATGACAATGCAGTGTGAAGAAGACGATACAAGTTCGAACTTTATAGAATATACCAGAAACCTGAATCCTAAAATTCCTTGATATAACTATTGATCAGAGAAAAAGAGGAAAACCAGAACAAGGTTTTTGTGAGTTTATTCGGCTAAAACATTGTCTTTTAAGATTGTTTCAACTTATTTGGGTAACATATTTCATGAAAAAAATAATTTGCGGAGCACTATATGACCCAACTCTTGAAAAACAGTATTTTATAAATAAGAAATTAAGTCGTTCAAGTAAATAATCAATAGACGGAACAATTAATGACAGAGTTCTTGGGACTTGATGTGGGTGAAATTCAACTGGCAATAATAAACAAATATATTATACTAAAACGAAAAAAATTTAATTGTAGTACTAACTTTTGTAAAAAATTGATAAAAAAAATAAATAAAATACAAACCTATTGTAGTTAAACATTTAACACACAAAATTATAAATATTTTCGTTAAATAAACTTCTTCGTTTGTCATTCATTCATATTTTGAGTAAAACATATACCATTCCTTGGTTTCTGTAATAGTTGACAACTGTTTTTGACAGACATATCATATTTTAGAAACTACTATAGTCGAAGAACGAAAGTGTAGCTGTACACGCTGAGAATTCGACAAATTCAATAAAAATAATACAATGCTAAATATATAACTACTTCCAACACAGACAAGAGTACCTGAACAGTTTATATAAATGGGAGAACGGGAGGTACATGTGGACAGAGGCACAGGTATACAGTTGATTTTTTTCCATGTAGATTTCTTATGAGTGGTTCTAACTCACTCTCCTAGGTGGTACAGGTGATATAGTTCTATGCCAAGAAATAAAATAGTGACATTCTGTGTTTCCGTGTAAAGTGCATCGTATTTTGAATATTCTCATATTTGATAACAGGTAAGTGTCTACAGTTTTGTTCTAGTCATACCCTAAAAACAGATATCCGGTACTTTTCAAAAACTATGCATACGGAGCAGATGTGGACACCATACAGGGGAACAATTGGACAGTGTCCACTTGTACCCCATAGGTTCTTTCAAAACAAAACAACCTAAAATATCCTTTTTTACCTTACTAGAATGGCGAGAAACTACATCAGAAAAACTGATAGAGTAATATTCCTGAAAACGTAGTAGTTCAGGCCATTTGCGATATAAAAAATGGTAACGGATCAATCAGATAGGTAGCATAGAGATATGGATTGAAGAAGTCCATGTTACATAAAATATTAAGACTGAATCAAGAAAAATATAAGTGATACACAATCACTTATATTTATCACTTATTTTATGATCAGATATAATTTCATTAAAATATACAACACAGCAGATTTTTTTAAATGAAGAAGAGGACAGTCTAGTAAATTATATTCTTCAATCTTTGAAGTTACAGTATAGATTAACCTACTTTAAAATTAGAAAATTCCCATTGAGGATGCTGTAAAGCTTGAAAAAAATATACCAAAGTCATGGTCGGAGAATCATTTTGTTGGAATTGAGTGGATTAAAGGTTTCATGAAGCATCACAATAATTTATGTTTGGGAAAACTGGAGTCTACGAGTCTAGCCAGAAACATCAGTTTTAATAAAGTTAACGTAGACATGGTTTTAATAACCTAGACTGTTTACAAAACGTACAAATTTACTAGTGATAAAATCGTGAACGTAGATGAAAGCGGAGTGAACACTGTTCTGCAAATGCCAAACGTGATAGCAAATAAGGGCTGTGTTCAATTTTCTCACATGCGAAAAACCATGTCATTTTTTCGCTGTATTATTATGTATTATTAACTATCCTTATATCACAATTTTACAATAATTATCTTAGTTCAACCCTTAATAACCCCTCCTACTTACAGTTCAACCCCCTCCCTTACGAAATACAGACAGTTCTAAGATAGCAAGAAGAAAAAACTCTCTTGGTGGTCGCTCGTCGCTAGGGACAGACCATTCTCAACTCTCTTAGTTTGGCCATCACTAGAGCCAGACGTTCTCTCTCTCTTGATCTCTCTCTCTCTCTCTTCACTTATCAAGAAGAACCGCATCTATCTTGGCTGTTTTTCTATGCGAAACACGTGTTCAAAAACCGGTGTATCGGACAGATTTCGCGGGTGAAGAATAACCACGAGTGAAGACTGGAAACAACCGTGAGAGTGTGGAGCAGAAAAAAATATTGGTAAGACTTTCTATAAACTTAATTTGCTATTGTCTGTATACTTTTTATTACTTATCCTAATTTTATTTAACCAACCCTATATAATACAGTCCACATACACAAGAATTATACTAATAATTTCCCACATATGTACTCCCTTTTTGTACAGGCTGTAAGCAAGTGGGACAAACAGTTGGACCAGAGAGAGGTGAGTAAGTGACGTTTGTTGGAATAATCATTGCCAGTGGAAAAATCCCACGAGTGCTATTTAGTCATTCCTGAATGGAGCTCCAGAAGGCAGCATTAAATACTTAGGAAAGAAAGGCAACCAATATAGAAAAGAAAAAATGCAAATCCCATATTCGCAAAGTTTTTGATGACGACACATCAGGAAACCGAAATTGAGAATTATTGCGAAGAGTTTATCACAACTGTCGCCGTTTCTAGCATCCTAGCTTCTAACGCTTGCAATCATTCCAGTCATCTGCTTGTAGTCCCCCATCTTCCACTATTGCACTATTTATCTTATCTTCGCGATCTACTTGGTCTTCTCTTTGTCCTGCGGTTTGTGGGAATCCACTGTAACATTCTCTTTGGTCATTCATGCTTTCGACAAGGCCATAATTCACCTTTATAACGCAAAGGAAAAGACAATAAAATAATGAAGAATGGAACTTTGGAAACATACTGAGGAATAGAAGAACTTTAGAAGAAAAAAACATCAAAAGAATTAAAGATCAAAATTTCACTCAGAGTCAAAATAATTTGTATGTTCCAAAGTGCCATAAACGGAGAAAAGTACCCAAGTAATGGACAAGAGTAGATAAAACATCAATATTTAACACTTTTTTTGAATCAATCAGGATGTTTTTCGATCTCAGTAGCTTCTCCGAGAAATCAATGAAATTCAAAAACGTTGTACCACAATAATGTTGTCCACATAAACGTACACAGTTAATTTTGCTTCTAAATTTCGTAATAGACCCAATTCCTAACTATAAAAACAGTATCCAAAGAAACAAAAAATTCCACATCCAAAATAAAACTACTTAAAACCAATTTTTCATCGCCATCCCGTACAAATATGAACATACAGATCTTAACTTACCTAACACAAGTTCTCATAACAGGCATCCAAGTATGCCAAATGAAACTATCATATGGCTGTATTCCCATTTTATTACCTTCTAGATTCCCACGGTGCTGTGACGTCAGGATATCCTGCCATTGGTTAAATACATCGACGTGTTGGTGAGGCTGTGATAGGGGATTCCAATTGGCCAAAGCCGATGTTATAAGAGGGCCGATTAGGCCGGGAGCTAATTCGCCTAGTTCGTACATTGTATATTCCTCTGAGTGCTTATCCTAAAAATATTGCAACTATTAGAGAAAAATCTTAGTTAGATTACAATATCGTTCAAATCGATGTGATAATTTGATATAAGTAACAATTATTAGTTATATAAATCGAAAAAATATTAAAAAAAAAAAATACAATCTAAATTATCCGGCTCGAAGGACCAATTTATAGCGGGACCGAAGGGACCATCCAATAACATTTTTGTGCGATCTGATCGTTTTTCTTCTACTATGTAAGTAATCTATAACTATATAAAGTGACTTATGCTAAAAGTATACAATCGTCCAATTTGCGACTTGCGATTTTCCTAAATTTTTTGTCGCAAAGACTTGTTGAAAGTAGCCCAATTGGCGATAAATCGCCCAATCTGGCCAATCAGCCTGTGGCTTCGTTTATCGTTGTGGTTGTATTCCCTAATGGGTTTATATACTGAGGAACGCTCAGGGGACGAGCCTCTGTACGCTCGTTTCCCGAACATTTAAAACAGTTACGTTTGAGTGTGTTGTCTCTACCATAACCGTGGTACATTTTCTGTAAATTCGACATACTTCTCAATGATACTATGTGGTGGAAAGTAGGCAGTTGCAAAGATAAACTTGTCGATGTGGCCAATCTGAATCTTGATAAACATATCTCCGACATTCTGAAAATACACCAGCGCTTATGAAGTCTCGACCGAGGGGGCTTTGAACCTGGTCATATTAACTTTGGCACACCATGAACATATTTCAAAATGAGATTGAATTCACCCTAATGCTAATTTTAACTAATTTTTCAGTGCATTGACCTCAGCTCGGTATTCAGGAATTAAATCAGCTTTCAGGAATACTTTTAAATCTCTATCCAACTTCCTCTTGTTTCTCAATATCATCTGAACCATTTCGGGTAACTCTAGAGTTAGTCGCAGTGATTGATACCCATTTTTGTTTCGTTTAAGCCGTCTAACTAAACCCGATAGCATTTCCTTAGCTTTAGATGTGTCACCTTCCTCATCATCTTGAGGCATATTAGAGATCATAAGATTCCAAGATCTCCCAGACACTTCATACAAAACACTGTCATGCACCAATTTGGAATTATTGTCGTTTTTTGTATTTGATGTAGAGGTGGTATTTTTTATGAATGTAAGATCCTTCTTAATGTCTTCACATGAGGTAGTAAAACTGGTTTTCAAACTCTTGACTTCATTGGTTACCTCACGAATTTTTTTTAAACTCCTCCATTTTTGATAGTTTCCAATTTTGATTTCACTTAGTGTATCTTCTAATATTTATACACAGTTGTTTAGTGTAACTGCCTTTTTGATTCCTGGCACGCAGTCACCACACAAATATGTCATAATTCAGGTGGCCTGAAGTAGACACCTTATCTCTGTTGATCTAATTCCAGTGCAGTGTTTGCATAAAACATTTTTGCAAATGTCAAAAGGGTAACCAAAAACTTCCGCTGTACCTTTATCAGGTTCTTTAAAAACAGAGTTCTTGGAATATTTGTTACATGTTCCTGCCATTTTAAGGTTTTCAGGATTCAAAATTGTTGATTTTGGAGAGTTGACAACTATATTAAGTTTAAGAAAGAAAGATAAACAAATTTAGAATCAGAACAGCTTTTCTTACCTGTAATTCTTTAAAAATACTGGCAATTTGACCTAAAGAGTATGTCTGCGTACTATCCATTAATTTATCCACAACTGATATTACTTCTTGTATATTTTCCATCAATTCGTCCTCTTTATTTAATACTTCCCGTAATAATCTTTCTTCCTGTTCGAGTGCCACTATTTTATCTTCGTTTAAACGACTACTTCTGTCTATCCTTATGATATCCTAAAAATAAATAAATAATTGATAAAAGAATGGAAAAATCAGAGAAAACAATTCAATTTGGACCTTCATTTTCGTGTGTACAAAAAACTACCAAAATAGCCAGTAGCACGCTCGCGTTAACTGTTTATTTATGGTTGAAAAAAACCTAATATTGAACTCCACAATAAAAACCATACTCCACACTCAGTAACTAAGAAAACAGGATAGGCCTATCCTACACATCATTGGAAATCATCATCATTGGAATCACATTCATTGCCAAAGAAATTAAATAAACTTGAAGACATTTTAACGAAATAAGCCTAACTTTTATGTAAAACTAAACTGTATAGATAATGTGACTGTTCTTTCTTCAAAATTTCTACCAATCATTCACCCAATGTTAAAAAAGTTTTGCCTATTATCAAAAATATTACAGATGAATTAAGAAACTGTTGCTAAAAGTGTGTAGAGACTACAGGAAAGTCTAATATCGGTTAAATATCAAAGAAAACAGTTGTCCACCACAATCAATTTATCACAAACGGTGCAGCAGTTCTTCAGTGTGTACTGGAAAAACAAAAACAGTATAAAAGCTCATTTCAATGAACACAACAGGAATCGTGTTTGTAATTTTGAAAAATTAGCCATTACAGAACACTATATCACACAGAAACACATCAGACTGAACTTAAATAAACATATATCTATAATATACAAGAAATTTCAGGAAAAATGTCTCCAGAGTAATGCTGATGAGTTTAGAAGTCATAAAACTATTGTTTTTGGTCTGGCAGCAGCAACTTGTGGACAAACCTTACAACAAATTTAAGTTACCGTTTATGAGAATCCAAAAGCAACAGTTAAACCAATAAAATTGTTACAAAAGGTAATAACTATTAGTCTCCACTGTAAACCGTTTGTATCCACTAGAATTGACAGATATTTGCACTAAATGTGTCCCACATGCCCAGAAGTAGTAATTATCGAGGTTGCCACTCGCAGTCTTTATGATTTTATGTATACTTTAATGTTACAGTATAATTATTTCAAATTTCTGGTCACTTTTTTCATTGAATATTATAATATTTGTTGTAACTGTTCCATATTATCTCAAGTTTTAGTACTACAAGAGCAAATATTAATTTTTCTCTCCAAATTTGCAAATTTCTCTTCGATAAATGTTCCTAATACATTATATTTTGTTCCTTTTGGATATATGTATAATTTTATGAAAAAGTACAAAAAAACAAAGAAATGGTTTTGCATCCAAAACTGCTCTATCGCTCATTCTATTGGGCTCTAACAAACTCAACTCAAACTTCATCTGAAAGAGGAAAAATGTCTGCTTAAATTTCAATCTAATATAGTGAATGGTATGCCTTACTTGTTCGCACAGGTCAACTAATAAATCTAAATTGTGTTGGATTTCCGGTAAGGTGAAGTTGGAACATTTTTTGTGGACGACATCTTCGTAATGTTCCACTCCAGGAGGTGCTTTAAGTCCGCTAAGGGCGTGGTATCCGCTGAGGACCCTCTGTTGAGGGCCTGTCATGTCAATCACCTTCACTTTGGAAAGCTCACTAAAAAAAAGGAGAAGTAGTTGATAATTTGTTTATATAAAAATGGATGTAGAACAAATCATGTATAACATTTTATATTGAGGACTCAAGAAATATAATTGCCAAGTGTTGTCAGTGTGTCTGCACCCCTGTTCAATGTAATAATTAATTGGATTATATCAATACAATATAACTAATATTTGGTATGTTCCTCTATATTGGTATATGCTTCTCTTGTTTATGGAAAACTCTACTGAATTTTGTATCAACAGGTCTTCTTCTACATGTTTTCTCATAGTTTTGTTTATTAAGGAAATTTTTTAGAGTCTTGAAAATTGATAGGATTCTCCTGATGTAAGTCAAATTCTTATTGAATTTGTATCAACAAGTTATCTTTACCTTTTCATATCCTATTACCTTAATATAATTAAAGGAATATCATTAACTACAACTAAACTACATAACTACAACTAAACAGTAGTTTACTTAGAATTTTAGAAAGTTTAATTACATATTAAAATAATCCAATGAATTATTATATTTCGGAGTACGGAATTTTCACAAATAAACAACATGAATTTCAGAGTAAAACAACAAAACATTAATTAAAAGCTAACATCGTTGTAATTTCGACATTCGGCTCTTTAAGAGCTGTTCTTCGATCTGTCACTACAGTATTATATTTACTGAAGAATCGTTGAACAAATCCCAAAACCATTCATAATTGGGGGCGACTTTAATGCACATAGTTTGGCTTGGAATGATGGATATGACGATATCTATGGCAAGATTCTTTTGGAAGCTATCGAACAATGCAACCTAGTAATTTTGAATGATGGATCACCTACACTAGCAAACAATAAGAAGTCAGCTGTAGACTTGACCCTCTGTACACAGGATCTGACGCACCTAATTACGTGGTCTACTTTAGAAGAACCTTATGGCTCTAACCACTTACCAATACACATACAATTTGGAAGGAATAGCCCGCTTGCGCAAATTAAACAGACAAAACATAACATATGGAGACTCAAGGCTGCTAATTGGGATGTATATACCGCTACACTTGAAGCTACAGAACCAAAATCATCACTAAGGGGCATTATCCACAATATTAACAAAGCTGCCAACGAGGCAATTCCCTTACAAAAATCAAACACACAAAATAGAAATCATTGTTCAAAAGACTGGTGGAATGAAACTTGTAACATAGCTGCTAAAGCAAGAAAACAAGCTTACTTAACCTACACACATGCTCCAAATCTTAATAATCTAACTGAATATAAAAGACTTGATGCAGTAGCTAAAAAAACATTCAAAGAAGCTAAGAAAAAAAGCTGGATTAATTATTGCCAAAATCTAAATCAAAATACACCAATCAAAGAAGTGTGGAACAAAGTAAACCGATACAAAAACCGAAAACAAGTAAATAAACCCCCAATAGACCCCAAAGAAGACTGGATAAACGAATTCCACGCAAAAATCTCACCCCCATGGGTTGAAAACAACATTACTCAACAAATAGCTACCGTAAATAGAAACACCTCTTTTCTACAATCACTATTTCAATTATGGGAACTCGATCAATGCATTAAATCAACAAATAATAAATCTCCCGGGGCGGATAACATTTCATACAATATGTTGCATAAAATGCCCTTAGGCCATAAGAAAGCCCTGTTAGAATTGTTCAATTCGATTTGGATAAATAAGATTCCTTTTCCACCAATGTGGAAAGAATACATCGTAGTACCTATCAAAAAACCTGGAAAACAGAATGGAACTGCAGATTCATATAGACCCATAGCTTTATCATCGTGTATATTTAAAACCATGGAAAGAATGATAAAGAACAGGCTTGAATATTGGCTAGAAAATGAAAAAATATTACCTGACTCACAATATGCTTTTAGAAAGGGAAGATCTTCCTTAGAACCCTTAACGATACTAGTAAATGACATCTATCTAGGATTCACACACAAATACAGCACTTTGGCTACATTTTTGGATATAACTTCAGCATATGATAATGTTCAAATAAATATACTAGAAGAGAAGCTTATCAATATTGGTCTACCAACCTCCTTTGCCAACTTCATAAAATCAGCTTACTCTAATCGATCAGTTTCCCTAAAGATAAATAAAGAAGTTTCGGAATCAAGAATATGTAGATCTGGATTACCACAAGGTAGTATCTTGAGCCCAATCCTCTACAGCCTGTACACAATGGACATAGAAAATGTTATATCACCTAAGTCCAAAATTATTCAATACGCCGATGATGTTGTTATTTACACCAGTAACAAATCAGAGGATAAATGTATAGAAACTATCAATGCTGAATTTATAGAAATCCAAAAATGCCTAGACAACATGGGACTTTCCATATCCGAGTCCAAAACCAATATATGTATTTTCTCTAGAAACAGAAACAACTATCAAAGACCATTAACAATAGGAAAATATAAACTGCGTATTAGCAACTCTGTAAAATATCTTGGTCTGCATCTAGATAGAAAACTATTATGGAAGGACTGTATCCACCAAATTATCAAAAAAACAAGTAATTCTATAAATATTTTAAGAGCGTTTTGTAGGGCAAAGTGGGGAGCAGATCCAAATACGGCTTTACTATTCTACAAAACAATGGTACGATCAATAATGGATTATGGAAGTCAACTCTATGGAACAGCAGCAGATACACATCTAAATAAAATCGAGATACAACAAAATAAATGCTTAAGAGTCTGCCTGGGATATCTTAAGTCAACACCCATAAATATAATACAAGCTGAAGCCGTGGAACCTCCTCTTAAACTAAGAAGACAACTATTGAGCAGAAAATTTATGATAAAAACCATTTCCAAAAAAACTTCTTACCTCAATAGTATACAATCACTAACAGTTCAAGTTTTGACCCATAGATACTGGCACTTCAAGAAAACCCCCCTCATAGTAGAAACTTTCACAGAAATACCTGGCATTACAGATATACTTTATTCCAACCAACTCCCCCCGGTTCTAAGTTACTCGCCTGAACAAATTTTTTCACGTGAAATTAGAACCTACTATTTTGAAAGTCAAGAAGTAGCAAGTATAAATCAAACAAAGTTTACCAAAACAAAAAACAAATACTGGCCAAACTATGATTCTATATTCACTGATGGATCAAAGTCAAAAGAATATACCAGCTGTGCCTTTTACCATTTGGAAGAAAATACTGACAAACAATTTATTCTACCAAAGGAAGCTTCCATATACACTGCAGAATTAACAGCAATAGTGCAAGCTATGAAATACATACTCGGCTCTAACCACGACAAATTCATAATATGTACTGACAGCAAAAGTGCAGTAGATAAACTTAAAAAAGTAAACATAAATAGATCAGTTAATCATATTGAAGCAAATATCCTTTATTTACATAATGAGATACACATCAAGAATAAAGTCGTCATATATCTATGGGTAAAGGGACACGCAGGTATAACAGGTAATGAAATAGTAGATGCCTTAGCAAAAACAGCCCCAACATTAGGAGAAGAACTAAATCTTAAACTACCCCCGTCCGACTTATTCTTAAACCAAAGAAACAAAATAAATGAGATGTGGCAAAACCTATACAACGCTTCAACAACCGGAACAAACTTTTGTAAACACCAGCAAAAAATTCCCAGAAAACCATGGTTTCACAAAATACCAAACCGAAACTTTGTCGCCACAATAAATCGAGTACGTGCTAATCATGCACTAACACCCTATTATAAGCACAAAATGAAAATTACAGACGATCCATGTTGTAGTTGTGGTAAAATGGGTACATTAGTACATGTTTTACTTGAATGTCCAATAAATAATGTAAACATTAATAAACTATATAAAAACTTAATTTACTACAAGATAAACCTTCCAATAGACCTAAATTGTATTCTTTTTTCAGGAAATAATGATATTCTTTATGTACTTCATCAACACATCATAAACTGTAAACTAAAACTGTAAAATTACTAACCAATTTTGTAAGACTGTGAAAGAAAATTACTTTTCTGCGAAAGAAAAAAAAAAAGTATGTGTATATATGTGTATATATATATATAGGGCTGAAACCTCCGAGGGGATGAACCGGGTTGACGCCCTAGCGAGAAAAAAAAAAAAAAAAAAAAACCTTACTTATTTTGTATATTACTAACAAAACAAATGAATACATCATGCTCAGGTTTGATAATATTCACACAAATTAATGATTCAATCTAACATAGTCTGGCTAATTGGTTCTCGCCAAAGCCATAAACTCCACGGAAAAAAAAAAAAAAAAGAATCGTTCTGCGTCAACGCTGTTCGTTGGACTCCAGATGTAAAAGCAAAATATCCTTCACATTGGAATCTCCGTTCCTTGGTATTGATTGAAGAATTAATCTATGAAAGTGAGGATATCCATCTATGTACTCCAATTGTGTCGTTGTTTTTTAGAAAAGCTTTCTGAGAGTACACTTGGGTTCACAGTAAAACTTGCAGCGATACATGGGTTAAATATCTGTCCAGTGTGTAAGAAAGTCTCGTTTGTGTCTTTTAAAGTCATATAGAGAGTTAGTTTATTAAAGGCTTTGTCGTTTGCTTTCATAAGTATTTCCTTCCATAAGTAAGATATGTTGCCCTATTCTTCTTCTTCATGTACCATGTCCTTTCAGAACGTTGGTTACCATCATAGCTATTTTAATTTTATTCACTGCCACCCTAAATAGCATGCTTGTATCTACACCATACCAATCTCGCAAGTTCTTCAACCATGAGGTTCTTCTTCGTCCTGGACTGCATTTGCCTGCTATTTTTCCTATATGTGACCCTATTAGAATTTTTAATAGGTTAAAGCAAGCAGACATGTATCTTGCTGAAGCTGATACCAGGCCTCTAACTTGTCAATAATAAATTTCAAAGTCTTTTAATGTATCTATAATTGCCCGTGAACATGTTGATGCATTGGCAATATCAAGAAAGTTAACACTTGTTAAAAAACATTCTATAGAAGAAAAAAGAATCTACAGTTTTGAAGAGAATAACAAAAACATATCTTTCTTGTCTATCCGAGGTTTCGTCTGCTACTAATACAATGGGCTTGTCTTTGAGCTGTTGCTTTGTATTGGCTTTTTCAGACAGACCACACTGTGGCACTGGCACATATTTAGCCATATATTCACGCACAGCTGATCCAATTTATGAAGTGGAATGTTAGCTTTCAGACACATACTAACTGTATCCTCCTCAAAAGTATCACTTTCTTCTTTTGCTCGTTTCTGTCTCTCAAAGCCACTAGAAATTGACATTTGTCGCTTAGTTCCTGAAATAGATGCTATAGATTTTTTTTCTTGTTAATGTGTTAAGTCAACTTCTCATGTTTCAGCAGTGTGTCCTTTTTATCACCTTCCAAATGAGTATTACAATACTTACACATCCCAATATTTGGGTCACACAGATATAGGCCTTCTGTTGCAAATTCTTTGACTGGATCACTCAAAATTCTTTTAGGACGTCCCATTTTAGTGGATATTTTAAGTAACTTTATTTTACTATGAAAACTTTTTTGATAGACTATGTTCTCACTCAGTAAAAATTGACGGAATGAGCACTGATTGTACTGGTTGACTAATTTATATGTTTAGAAAATAAAATTAGCTGACTTTTATCCCTACTTAGATTTTTACCAATACAAAAGACTGAAATGCAGATAACAACAGTCAGCTTATTTATATTTCTCAAAGAATCAACATTGAAAAATATCAATTCCTTATCTTATCTTTATCTATTTAATGATGAACAATGAAAGATCCTTCTGTTTCAACATGTTTTACAATAATAAACAATCCTTTCAAAAATTACAATAGAAAACTTTCTGTAAAATCTTTCCAGACCTTCGTAACTACATACTTATTTAGGGGTGAGTTAAGCACCGGCAGATATTTAGCGGAAATAAACAAAAACTCTGTATTTCGCATTTATTTAGATTTTCAATTCATTTAGAAATTTTAGATTACACAAGAAACATTGTTTAAACATGATCTACAACTATATTAGGACAACCGCATCATTTATGTCTGCTTAAATTAAAAACAAAAAACAATCACAAAACCTGCTGAACCTCTAAGAACACACTAGAAAATAAGTTTGCAGGAGCTAATCTTCTCTATTTCTCTTGATACAAAAAAGTAGAAGTAGGAAAAGTAAAGGGTGTTTTTTTCGAGGTGTAGAAATTTAGGTGCTAGTCTATGCCAATAAGCATGAATCAATTGACCACTTAGAGGACAAAATTTGCAGTGTTATTGCTGATATACTGCTACAAATATTGAAATAAGTAATTGAAAATTGGAACTCCAGATTAGACTACATTAGAGCCAGCCATGACAGTTATATGCCAGAAATCATATTTAAATTATAATGTCAAAATATTATCTTTTGAATAAAGACAATTTCATGTCAATCTATAAAAATCGTCTTTGTTTTATTCCATTTCAAAGCTCTATACCTCTTAATTAAGGGAATTGATGTGAACACATCAATTTTAGTTTTTTGAAAGTTGGCAACACATTTACAGTCCCTGGCCAAATTATTAGACGCACTGCAAGATTTCATTTAAAATATTATTAACCGAATGATATTGTACTGTTTTATTATTTTAAATTTTTTTTAATAAAACAGCATTTATTAAGAAAAGCAGAAGGTGATTGAGTTTTAAAGAAAATTAAAATTAATATATGTAAAAGCCAGTATGTAGTTGAGTCACCTTTAGCCGTCATCAATGCTTTAATTTTGCGTGGCATTCTATCAATGTAAGACTGTACTGTCTCCTGCATTTGAGGATGATATTTCACGGTATAAATAATCTTTTCTATAAGCTGGATTCTAGAAAATATTATCATCTTTAGCCACTTCTCTTTTCATCATCTCCCACACATTTTCAATTGGGTTCATATCAATGCTATTACCTGGTCAATCCAACAGAGGGACACTTTTTGGTGCTAACACTTTATGGTTCCCCATTTGGAAACCATTCTCGAAGCTGCGGAATCAACCGATTTTGTAATAGGTACTTCTTTGTACTGATCTTGCCTCATTTATCCTTTGACGACATACAGACGTCCAGTGCCCTTGTCGCTGATGACTGACCAAATCATCACTTTGGCGGAATGTGTAACAGTCAGGACGACACAATCAGGATGAAACTTTTCTCCATTAAGATGACGCACATACTAAGCTTTATTCTGCAAAATTTCGAATGTTCTTTCGTTACTGAAGCAGACTTGTCGTCAAAAATAGGAAAAATATATAAACTTCCAAGTTTATTTGCTTTATTTAACTAACAATGATACTAATGTATCAATTTTTGATTAAAAATTTCTGTATCTTACTGATCTCCAGAAGTCCACATCTTTGTCTTGCCATTATTTGGCCTACTTCAGGACTACTTTAATTGCAGCTATTAACTTGTATGTCTGTATGACTGTATGTCAAATAATGATAAGTTTCTAATAGTCAGTGAGTAATGACACATCAAGCTACAGATCTGTTAAGATTTGTTGTATTTTTATAATTATTTATATAATATGGGTTCCTGTTTTGATTACGATTTTGTTGCAATAAGAAACAACAAAGAACTTTCTAACAGACAAAAAAGTATCACAATCTCAAACAACTCCCAAATTTGGGAGAGGATTATAGGGAAACATTTCTTCTAAATGTATGATAGAAAACCACAAAATAAACCAACAATATACATTTCACATTGCATCATTGATGATACTTAAACATATACAGTCGAATGTGGATAGAAGGTAGATAAGACATTTATTGAATAACAAGAAAGTCTATAACAATAAAGTCATTGATAGTTATTACAGTTATAGAGTAATAAATTGAATTTAAAACAGCCAATTATCACTGAGGTCTTTGTTTTCTTCATCGCCTTGCTTAATTTGGGCATTGTCAGTTAATTTAACCCCTAAGAAAGAATCGATTTTAAATCTAAACTATACAGTTTTTACCTTGAGTTTCCCAAATGTCTATAAGCTCCTGGACGTTTACCTTTTTCAATAACATCATCAACACTTCGGTAATAGTATCTGCTTTTCTTTGTTAATGAGTCTGCTTTCTTCCATTTGGATTCTCCTTTTTCGTCCTTGTCAATGTCTATCTCCATTTTCATGTCTTTATCCTAAAAAAAAAAACAAAAATATATTACAACAGTGATTTTAATAAAAATATAATAATGAATATAACACTTCTTTTCATACTAGCTATTTTTATACTCAATACACTAATTCAATGGCTTTGGAATTGTTGAATAATTTGTTCCCACCTCTATTGTTAAAGGTTCCTCAAATAATCATCAGTTTTCTGGTGAAACATTTATTTAAAGGTATATACTTCTACAAAATATAGGCAAATATACACACCTCACAACTCCAGATAGTTAGAAAACTGATATAAATGGGGGGTGATGATTTGAATTCATCGTCAATGCTAACATTCACCAACTTTACATACAATGCACATGTATCACTTCTACGGACTGCAAATTGAAGATTACATTTCCAATTGAAAATTGCGTTTTATTTTAAGCCAAATTGAGAGACAATTGAGACAAAAATAATGTTATGGACAGCAGATAACTATGTTTTAAGACCCACAACCTAAGATATAGATACAAGCTTCATTAATTTTAGAAGCATTCTAACAAATTTGGTATAGTAAATATAGCTTACTTTTAATTTGGGTACACTAGCAGGTTTTTCTGGTCCATATGCCCCAATAGCTCCTCGTCCTTTTCTCAAATGTGCTTCCACTGGTGCAGAAATACCTTGGAGATCCTTTCCTAAACCTTTACCAGGTTGAAAACCCATCTGAAGTAGTAATTTGGCTCCTATTCCCTTTGTGTGTTTCTCCCAATGACCCACTCCTTTATTAATTAATGCTGGATTGACACTGCTCTTTGTTCTCAAGCCTGCTATATCTGCATTTGTTTCTGTCATTACAGACTGTGGGGCTTTCTTAAAATTTCCCATACCAAAACCTATAGAAAATTTATAAAATATTAGCAATATTGTTGATCAAACGCAAATATGCAGCTTTTTCATTTAAAATAAACCACTTTACCTGTTCTAGTTGGTGCTTCTTCCTCAGATTCATCAGAACTGTTTCGAACATTGAAAGAAGGTTTTGATTCCTCATCAGAATTTTCATCCTTGATTGCCTTTTTATCACTTTCTTTTTTCTTACCAACTTGGTGAACTCCACCTGCCACAAACCCAATAGGAGCTGAATAAGACTTGGGCTGTTTGTTGGATTTAAAGGCTGGTTTCTGTTCTTGTTCATCATCACTGTTATCTGCCCATATACCTAATAGAAAATTATGAGTAAAATTGCGAAGAGATATAAAACAATCACTTATTATGTTATTAAGAATAATGTTAAATCTTTGTTACCGTATATTTGATGGTGTTTACTAAATTTTTTTCTATTTCTGTTTATGTTAAATTCATTTTCTAGGTCATAGTCAGTAATTTCAAATTTCTCCATCTCATCGTCAGACATGTTTTATAAGCAGGTAAATATATTATAGTAAATATTAGTTAAAAATTTAATTTTACTTCATGAAAAACTCAATGAAAAAAGAGTTTTTGTGTCAAAAACTAATGCTGTTAGGGTTAAACCAGTTAAACGTTCTCATATGCTCATCGCTCATCACAAAATTCACAAATGACATGACACATGACAGATGACAAACACTAGAGACACATGATACTATAACAAAACAAGATAAGTCAACGCGCATGATTTTGTGACGTAAGCCCGAGACAACTAAACAAAATGCCAAATTGTCAAAATTGATGACAGCAAGTTAAACTTTAAAATTAAATTAAAATTTTTCATTTGATGCAATTCTAGTTACATAAATAAAAAGAATTAATATTAATAACAGCAGAGAATTAATATATTAATAACAGCAGAGCAAAGGTTTCTATGGATAATAATAAATAATAGACTTGAAGTAATACTTTATTTTTGATATTTTAGTTCTTTAAAAAAAAGTTACTTTGGATGTAGTATGTAGTGAACTGGAACATATTTTCGTAGTTATATGGTGCACATTAAAAATAACAAAAAATTATTTAAAAAACTTAATAGAAGCTGCAAAATATGTAATGTTAGCGAAGATATAAAATTACTTTTTTAGATGTAAAATGTATTTTAAAATACTAATTCTAAATCAAAATATTAAAGATAATTACAATACCGCAAAAGAAAAATCACAAAGATTGTAAAATAAATGTCTAAATGATATTCATAAAGTCTCAAGTTTGAAACGCTTTTCCTTTATGGTCAAATTCTATACATTTTGCCAACCTTTTATATTGAATTTATGTTTTGTAGCAATATTTATTTTGTTTTTAATACACACAATCAAATCGTAGATTCATATATTTCTTTAATTCATTTTACAAATTACTTATTAATGTTCAAAACACGTTTTCACAGAAAGTAACTATTTATGACTTCTTTGTACAAGATATGGCATCGAGGTATACTTACCGTTAACAGTTTAAGTTTTGAAGTTATTCATTACAGTAATGAAACAGCGTTGCCATATGATGCATCTTTAAAATATGATACATACAAGTCCCCTGTCTTTGTCTCGCTATGACGACATACGCAAAGTCATTTAAAATTAGAACAGCAAGTGAGCACATCTTGTTATAGTATCATGCTAGAGACAGCGACAATGAGAAATGTTACCAACATAACGCGGTTATTAAAATATATATTAATAATATATAAATATTAATAATATATAAATGCATTTAATGCAGAGCTAACTCGGCTTTATATTTACTTTATGCAGTTATCGAAATGCTTCTTACTGTTTTTAACTGTACATTGTGAAATGATTTTTGTGAATTCTGTCCTGAGTGTTTTGAAAATTATATATAAATGATATTTTAACTTTCCAGATCAAGTTATTCGAATTGTTTTTAGCTTCGCTTAGAATAACTTTTATTAATGTTGTATCCATAAATATACTCATATACTTTGGGTTTTATTATAATAATAATATATTAAGACTGGAACAAAATTTTGTAAATAATTTAGGAAACTGCAAAAACATACCGACAACTGTTTCATTTGGGTTTGTTATTGATGACTGCCAAATAAATAATTATTTTATTGACCAATTTAAAATATTATATAAGGTTGGTATTAGCAATGTTCTGGCAATGACATTTCCTTTTGGCAGTTTTTCCTGCAAAACGATTGACGTCTGACGTCTGTGTTGGTGTTGTGTGTGTTGACAGACTGATTTCTTTTTATAAAAGCCTGTAGGCTGGTTAGATTAACTGATTGATTTGAGATTTTTTGTACATCTTGCATAGTTTTAATATCATAAATATTTAAATATGGCAGAAGCAATGAAACAGACCGTAGGGTCAATGTTAAAAGGCATTGAAAGGTACGCTAATATTCAAGTTAAATACAGTGCAATCTGTGTAGAACAGACACATGGGTATAAACAGGCTTCCCTGTTGCCCAAAGATTTTTTTACTTCAGTATACGAATGTTATCAGCTTTTCCGTCACACATAGAATTTCGTGTTAAGCAAGGTCCGGGCTGCTCAGATTCAGGATAACACATGTATGAAATCTAACCTATTTTGTTTACAGGTACAATCCCGACAATTTACCTACTCTAGAACGTTATGTTGAAGTCCAATCTCGAGAGAATTCGTATGACTTAGAGGCCAATTTAGCAGTGCTTAAATTGTATCAATTCAATCCCCTTAGTTTCAACATAGATATTACTTGTCAAATTTTACTTAAAGCTCTTACAAATTTGCCACATACAGACTTTATCTTGTGCAAATGTCTGCTTTATGATAAACAGGTGAGTTTTAAATTTTTATGTAAAAATTGTGTAAATGTAATAATTTTTGTTAATGTATGTTGACTAATTTTTATATAAAAAGTGTACATCTTTGGTCCATAAGGCATTATCTTGTCTTGAGAGATCAAAATATTTAATACATACATTTTATCGAAAGTAACACTTAGACACATATAGATTAACTAAATGTAACTGAGAGCAAGATATAAAAGTGTGCTTCTTATTTTTTTAGTTGTCTCAAGAACCAATCAACCAGATAGTATACTTGGCAGACATTTTGGAACAATGTGACTTCCAGCTTTTCTGGACAAGA